AGCATCTCCGACATCAGGAATCTGTTGAAAGTTGATGTGATGCGATCCAGCAATGCTCCGGCAAGTCACCTGACAGGCAAGCCCTATATACGACGGTCCCAGTATGCTCAGATGTCTGCAATCGCCTCAGTCTCGCTCAAACTCCGCCCCCGTCAAGACCCTTGCCTGATCGACACTGATCGACACTACCCCTCCCGCTAGCACCAGAGTCCGCATATACTCCTTGATTCTGCTCGTCGTACGATGGTTTCCTCCTGTCTTAGGCTAATCGGCTAAATTGATTGAGCGTGCTTAAATACGCTTCTTGTATCTTGACTCCCATACACGCAAGGAACAGTACATCCAACAACATGTACTTCCTCCTCACACTCCTCGTGGTCGGGCACTGCCTGGCCGACTACTTCCACCCCAACTCCACCGGCCTGCGCCTGCAGCACGGCTTCGAGACCCTCCTCATCCAGCCCTACGGCTACGATGGCTTCCGCGTGCGCGCCTGGCCGTTCCGCCCCCCCACTGGCCAAGAGATCAGCTTCATCTATGATCCTCCACTGGAGGGCTTCGAGAACGGCACCGCCCACGGCATGAGCTACGACCAGACCTCCACCGGCGAAACGCCCCTCACCCTCCGCAACGGCAACCTCCTCCTCCGCACGACCGGCTGGGGCGGCAACGAAGGGGGCTACCGGCTGTCTTTCTCGCGTCTCAACGCCGACGGCAGCGAAACGCTTCTCACCAACGAATACGCTCCCCTCAAGTCCCTAAACCCACGGACCTACACGTGGCCCGGCCCGGGGGCCGAGTTCCGCGCGGAATTCAGCTTCAGCGCCACGCCAGACGAGCAGATCTACGGCACGGGCACGCAGCAAGACCACCGCATCAACAAGAAGGGCTCGGTCATTGACTTGGTCAACTTCAACACCTACATCCCCACCCCGGTGTTCATGAGCAACAAGGGCTACGCCTTTGTGTGGAACATGCCCGCCGAGGGCCGGATGGAGTTCGGGGCGCTGCGCACCAAGTTCGTGGCCGAGTCGACCACCCTCGTCGACTACGTGATTGTCGCTGCTGACGACGATTCTGCCAACAACAACACCTCCTCCGTGTCCAAATACGACACCCTCCAGCGCCGCCTCTCCGCGCTGACCGGCCGGGCCCCGACCCCACCCGCCTTCAGCCTGGGATACATCCAGTCGAAGCTGCGCTACGAGAACCAGAGCGAGGTCGAGCAGCTGGCGCGCAGCTTTGCGGCGCACGACATCCCCGTCTCGCTGATCGTGATCGACTACCAGTCGTGGGCGCACCAAGGCGACTGGGCGCTGGACCCGCGGCTGTGGCCGAACGTCAGCCAGATGGCTGCAGTCGTCCGCAACGCCACAGGCGCAGAGCTGATGGCCAGCCTGTGGCCCAGCGTGGCGGACAACTCGCTCAACTACGCCACGCTGCAAGCGCAGGGGTTCCTGTCGGCGACGCGCTCCGGGCCCGGCACGACCGACAGCTGGAACGGCAGCTACATCCGCAACTACGACGCGACGAACCCGCTCGCGCGCCATTTTCTGTGGTCCACCCTGCACCGCAACTACTACACGCAAGGCATCAAAAACTTCTGGATCGACCAAGCCGACGGCGGCGCCCTGGGCGAAGCCTACGAGAACAACGGCCAAAGCACGTACATCCAATCGATCCCCTACGCGCTGCCCGACGTCCTGTACGCCGCGGGCACCCAGCGCGGTGTCGGGAAACTTTACCCATGGGCCCACCAGCAGGCCATCGACGAAGGCTACCGCAACGCCACTGCCACCTCGGCCCGTGACCCCTGCCCGCACATCTCCCTCAGCCGCAGCGGGTACATTGGCTCGCAGCGCTTCTGCAGCATCATCTGGTCCGGCGACACGACCTCCGTCTGGGACACGCTCGCCGCGCAGATTGCGTCTGGCTTGTCGGCCGCCGCCACCGGCTGGGGCTGGTGGACCGTCGACGCTGGCGGGTTCCAGGCCGACCCGACCGTGGCCTGGAGCGGGGACATCGATACCCCCGAGTTCCGCGAGCTGTATATGCGGTGGTTCGCGTGGGCGACTTTCCTGCCGTTCATGCGCACCCATGGCAGTCGCGCGTGTAGTGTGCGGAGTGCGTATACGTGCGCGAACGAGCCGTGGTCGTATGGCGCCGAGAATACCCCGATTATTACGGGGTATATCAGGTTGCGGTATCAGTTGGCGCGCTATTTGACGACTGTGTTTGAGCGGTTTAGTACCGAGGGGAGGAGTATTATGCGGCCCTTGTATATGGATTTTGAGCACACGGATAAGAAGGTGAGTGGGCTGGTGGCGGCCAATACGAATTTCACGACCCAGTCGTATATGTTCGGGCCACGGTTGTTGGTGAGCCCGGTAACGAAGCCGAATGTCTCGGAGTGGGAGGTGTATTTGCCTCATACGGGGGAGAGGGGGAAGTGGACGTATTGGTGGTCGAATGAGACGTTTGCTGGGGGGGAGGTGGTTACTGTTAAGGCGCCGCGGGAGCATATTCCCTTGTTCTTTTGGGGGAGCAGGGAGGATATTTTGAGTGGGGAGGTTTTTTGAAGGGCTCGGATGTTAGAGGGAGTGGAGATACTTTGGAGGTGACCTGGTCTCATCCTTCGAAACATATCCTTGGACCTAGTATAGAGGTGCTATAGACATACAATGTCAGAGAAGAACGTGCCTCAAATTCATTCCGCTGCAAACTCATCAAGGACTAACGTTACTCATTTGAGAGGTCACTTAAATATGTTCGACTATCTCGTGTTGTGATGAGGTTGATATAATAAGCAGTGTCTTCTGTGCAGAATATATAAAAAAGCTGGGCTTACATTATGTTCGAGTGCGCCGCTTCTGCTCGACGTGTATATACCTTCGGTGGCCACGTGATTCTGGTATGTGCATTTTTGGATGCTGGGGACATGGACAAAGATGCTAAAGGTAAGTCAGCACGTTAAGTCCATCTACTAATATCTTGACAATTTTTAGTATTTATTTATCTCTGAGGGTGGATATGTGCTGTAGCTACCAAACTTCATTTCGACCGATATTCTCACCACAGCCCTGTGCTGATCCCTCGGTTTCACAGGCATCCGAGATCAGATCGTGGTTCTATATATAGGTTGAGTCAGACGCCTCGCTATAATGCAAAGATCTACAACCACGGCATGACTTTCTGTGAACCCGGATTACATTGACGTTATGTTTGTAGACTTGTCTGGCCTGCTGCCTCAGGCCACCATCCACGGTGAAACACAATGGTTTTAACATTCTGCTTGGCAGCTTGAGCAACCAGCATGGGCCATGCAGGCAGTGGATTAATGTGAACTTGACTTAGGGTCCTGATGGATACGCTACCTAAAACTAAAAATACACAGTGCCAATTGAGTTGCATCTTGGTGATGCCAATGTTCCAGCCTTGACCCGCTAGCCCCAACAGAGCAGGAATTACGAAATACGACTGAGGATCGATCAACAGCTTCAAGTTCGACACCAAATCCTCTCCTGGCCTCAGTACAAAAGGTCTGTAGGACCGTCTGCTTTCGTCGGTCATGTCCAACCTCAATTTTATCCCACATTACCACTCCATCCATCACCATGCAAGGCTGGACGGCGTACGCGTATGATCCCTCCATGGCCGGGGCAGCAATCATGATCCTGCTGTTCCTGATAGCCACTCTGATCTTCATCTACCAGCTCCTTCGCACCCGGGCCTGGTTGACGCTTGCCGCCTTGATCGGGGCACTCTGTATGTTGTTGCAGCTTCCTTATCGACCGATCGGACGCTGATGATTCTTTTCCCTCTATAGTTGAAGTCGTCGGGTACTGCGGTCGCGCCCTCTCCGCCCATCAGTCCCCAGACTGGACCCTCGGTCCCTACATCATTCAAAGCACACTGCTGCTGGTCGCTCCGGCCCTCTTTGCAGCCACCATCTACATGATCCTCGGTCGCATCATCCTGCTGGTCCGCGGCGAGCACCACTCCATCATCCGCCTGAAGTTCCTGACCAAGATCTTCGTGGTGGGCGACATTCTCTCCTTCCTGATGCAAGCCTCAGGTAGGACCTCTCTGCCCGTATGACGCTTCATGTTACCCTGACAATCAACAGGCGCCGGTCTGATGGTCAAGGCCTCCTCCGCGACGGACCACACGGGCGAGAACGTGATCATCGGGGGCCTCATCGTGCAGATCCTCTTCTTCTGCTTCTTCATCACGGTGGCGGTCATCTTCCAGCAGCGCATCTACCGCCATCCCACGGTGCGGTCGGAGTCGCCGCAGATCCCGTGGCGCAAGCACTTCTTCTCGCTGTACGCGATGAGTTTCCTGATCCTGATCCGGTCGATCGTGCGGTTCATCGAGTACATTCAGGGCCAGCAGGGGTTCGTGATCACGCACGAGGCATTTATCTATGTCTTCGACGCGGTGCCGATGTTTTTGGTGCTGTGCATCCTCATCGTGGTCCACCCGAGTGAGATCAACGGACTGCTGGGCAAGTCGCGGGTGGCGGCGGTGGGGAATGGGTTGCGATTTAAGGATGTGACTCCGGCTCTGTGATTTTTTTTTTTGGGGGGGTCTGAGGGAGTGGACTAGACTAAAGATGGCACTGTTACAGATTCAATAGAATTCAAATTGTATCCACCGAACAAGAACCAGAACAGGCAATGAATACGCATCCGAGATGGAGGGGGGTGGGGCAGGACTAAGGTTCAAGTGGGTATGAGTACGGATACGAAGTGGAGCCCTACTTTCTTTCTTTTCTATCCTCCGACTCATTTTTCTAGTATAACTACTAGGTAGTCACAGTTCATAATGTACCGGATACTCCATTCTCCGTGAACGCCTTCGAGACAGGGCACACCTCGGCTCTATTTTTCAACTTCGCCCCCACGACTCTACTTTATCTCTGCTTCTACTTCTACTTCTACTTCTCCCAAATCCCCCAAATGTAAAACCCTCCGTATCCTCAGGACATCCGTCCAGCCATGTCCATCCTCACCATCCTATGCCTCGCGCTCGCGCTTTCAGCCAGCTACATTCTCGCGCAGATCTACACTCACTACCGTCCCCTCCGCGACAGCCCACTACCAGTCCTCATCGTCGCGACTTCCCTCCCCCACCCGCTTCGGAGTCTTTTCACCCTCATTGACCACAACTCCCGCCTAGCCCTGTTCTTCCAACGCGACCGCTTCAGCCACCACTCCTGGAATTTCCGCGACAAATTCGCCCTGCACGCGCGCTACGGCCGGTCCTTCTTCCTGGTGACGCCGGGGGGCCGGGAATTTATCACCGCGGACCGCCCCGTCGCAGACCAGATCCTCCTGCGGCGGAGGGCGTTCCCCAAACCATTAAGGCTGCTTGGTACTGCCCTACCTCCCCTAGCCACATGAAAAAGAAATGGCTGATAAGGAAATGTAGACAACTTAGAGCTGTTCGGACCGCATCTTGCTTCGGTACGCCCCTTGCTTTGCTCACATCACTTTATCCCGTGCGGTACTTCCGATTGCTAATCAAGGAATGTATGTGTGCAGGTCGAAGACACAACCTGGCAGCGCCACCGCCGTATCACCGCCAGCGCCTTCACCGCGTCCACCGACCAGATCGTCTGGACCGTCTCCCTCGCCCGCGCGGCGCAGCTGGTCGCCACCCGGCCTAGTACAACCACCACCACCAGCACAAGCACATTCCCCGACCTCGCCGACGCAAGCCTCGACGTGCTGCTCAAGGTCTGCCTCCCCACCACAACCCCCTTAGATCCGACCTTCAGCCCGCAGGAGTGCAAAACCGCCCTCCTCCGCTTCCTGGGGATACTCACCGCCCCGACGGGGTGGAGATGGGGATGGAGCCTCCTCCCCTGGCGCCGGAGTCAGGGCTCACGGGGTCTGTGGGCAGGGGCGTGCGAGCTCCGGGGGAGTATCACGCAGCTCGTGGACTACCGTCGCCACCGGCTGGATGGGACCGTGCATGGGGATCTGCTCTCGACATTGCTGTGGTGCGAGGGTAGCGCTGGCAACGGCAACGGCAACAGGGAGTATATGTCCCCGGACGAGATCCGGGGCAATGTGTTTTTGTTTCTGTTTGCCGGGCATGAGACCACCGCGAATACGTTGCTGTATGCCGTGTATCTTTTGGCCATCTTTCCGAGGTGGCAGGAGTGGGTGGTGCGGGAGATGGACTTCTTGCTGAAGGGCGTGGGAAGGGAGGAGGAGCCGGGGTTTGAGGTGTTGGAGGGGTTGGTGAGGTTGAGGGCTGTTTTGGTGGGTTTCCCCTTTATTTTTCTGGTGGTGGTAATGGCTGATTGTGGTAGATGGAGACGCTGAGGCTTTATGGCCCCGTTGTGAATGTGCTGCGCGAGACGCGCGAGCAGGACCAGATGATTAAGGCGGAGATTCCGTTCGTCATTCCGGGACACACCTCCATCCGAGTCAATAGTGTAGCGCTGCATACGGATCCTGAGACTTGGGGAAGTGATGCCGCGGAGTGGAGGCCGTCGCGGTGGGTGGTTGGGTCGTCAACCGGACAGCCCGGGGAGGATGTGTACAACACGGAGATGGAGCGGAGGCTCATCGCTTGGTCGGAGGGGCCGAGAGTCTGTCCTGGCAAGCGGTTCTCCCAAATTGAGATCCTGGCGGTGCTGCTGCAGCTGTTTCGACGGCATAGAGTCGAAATCGTGCCTCAACCGGGAGAGACAGTTGAGGAGGCACGGCAGCGGGCTTATGCGCGGGTGCAGCAGAGCACAATGAGTTTGACTCTGCATATTCCCCAGCCGGAGAAGGTGTGCTTACGGTGGGAGCGGCGGAGAGATAGTAAACTTGCTTAATATTGACGAAGCTAAGGAACGTGCTTGATTGATCGACCTGCATATACTCTCAGACTAAGCTTGTGAACTAGCGGTGGACTGAGAGGCAATCGCGCCTAAAACAGGTATCTAAACGAGTACGAGACCCGAATACGACATCCCAGCCTCCAACTATACAGTCTATATTCGAGTAGACACATCCACTATATAAGCATATAAGCCTGTCGCCAACATCCCCACAACGTGGTCCCAAGCATGCCGACCTACATCCTCTACCAGTATGCCCCCTCTCTCCCCGCCGCCATTGCGGCGACGGTCTGCTTCGGCCTCCTCACCACCAGCCATGCCATCCACTACTGCGCCCAGCGCACCTGGTTCTTCACCCCGTTCATTATTGGGGGGATCTGTACATAGCCTCAGATCCTCAGATCGGCTTTCTAAGATCAGGGCACTAATACCAATCCCAGTCGAAACAGCCGGCTACATCGGCCGCATCATCAACAGCACCCAGACCCCGAACTGGACCACAGCCCCGTATATAATGCAATCCCTGCTGCTGCTCGTCGCCCCCTCTCTCTTCGCGGCCTCCATCTACATGATCCTGGCGCGCATCATCCGCCTCACCGACGGGGATACTCGCTCCGTCCTGCCGGCCCACTGGATCACCCGCGTGTTTGTCGTAGGGGATGTCCTTGCTTTCCTGGCGCAGGCGGGAGGTGGGTTCTTCTCTCTCCCCTTCCCCTCTTTTCTGCATGATCACTCATAAAATGTAGGCGGAGGCCTTCTTGCCAAGTCCAATTCACCAACCACCATCCAAACAGCCAACCGGATCATCATCGCCGGCTTGGGCATCCAGGTCGTCTTCTTCGCGGCCTTTATCCTCGTCTCAGCGGTTTTCCATCAACGCATGCGGTACCACCCTACGCGACGCGCGCGGAGGACCCGGGTGCCTTGGAATGGGCTTCTGTGGGTGCTGTACCTCACCAACGGGCTCGTTCTGGGGAGGTCGGTGTTTCGGGTGGTCGAATTCGCGATGGGGAGGGATGGGGGTTCTTCAACGGCGCGAGGTGTGGTTGTATGTGTTCGATGGGGCGGTGATGGCGTTGGTGATGCTGGTTTTATTGGTGTGGCATCCGAGTCGGTTGCGGGGCGTGAGGAGGGATTATGTGAGGGGGCAGGGAGGAGGGAAGAAGAGGAGGAGGAGGAGGAAAAGAAGGGAGGAGGTAGATGTGAGGGGAGTCTGGGTGTAAGTGTCTAGATACTGTGACAAGTATAGGATGGAAGTGTGAAATCTGAAATATAGGTTTTAGGATGTTTGAATGAAACGATTGTGGGTAAGGGTGTCTTCGAAGCTGTACTGTAGAAGTTGTTCATCTTGTAAGGCTAATGGAAACTCTTAAGTTACACCCTGGCATCATCAGTATAATAACACTGCTGGAAAGTTCTTGAGGTGAAACGTGAAAGATGGTGGATGTTGGGTTGAACGTCAAACAGTGAATGCGCAACGAAGGGAATGGGTCCGCCAGCTATATAAGCAGTCTCCTTTCTCTTGCTCTTCCTCTCCTCTGCATCTCTTTCACAACACACTTCTCTCCTTCTTCAGCCTACCTTCACCTCAACTTGATCACTCCTGCAACTTGGACTCGTGCCATCCAAGCCCCACTAGTCTTACCTTTCTCTTTTCGACTTCCATCTCCTCTGCATCATACGCTTACTTTCTTCAACTCATAACCATTCTTTCAGCTCATGTCATCTTTATCCTGTCAATCTCATTTTTCTTCTTAACGCTCTTGCCCATAAGTGCTGTTGATCATCTCCCGGATACGCTGTTCTACCAACACGTTACTGAGGCCCAACTCAGGCCATCTCAGTTCTGTCAACCTCATTTACTTTCTCATCTATCCTGTTCTTCCCCGTTGCCGAACATCTCCTAAGCAATCTATATTAACAGTAACAAAAAACAGCACGAGATTCGGCAAGCCCCTCTACAACAAAAACAAGACGCAGGTGCGAGTCGCTCTTCAACTTTCTCTCTGCCCCCTCCATGGCACCATGTTCCTTGCATGGTTGAGACACTAACCTTTGCATTTCCTTAGTCCCCCCTCCAAGATGGGCAAGAAAAGCCCAACCAAACCCAAGATCAACATCAAAATAAAAATGAAGAACAAAGAATCCAAAATCAGAGACAAGATAGACGACATCCTGGCACTGACTCACCAACGATCTCCCCAGATACAAGGGTTGTGGTTCGAGAACGAAAGCTACACCGACATCCCGACCGTGGTGGAGTGTCTGGAAGACGCCCGGCTCGAGCGAACGCCCGAGAGCTATGCGGAGCTCGTCGATCTCGTGGCAAGAAGCATGCCATCGAAGCGAGAGGGCAAAGACCTGCATTACGAGCATGTCCTCAGCAAGTTCTTGGTCTATCTCGCGACAGTACGCCCTGACTTCGATGCCTTCCCGCGCCACGGCGGCCTGCCAAGCGGAGTGGAAGACTCTCCTAAACGCCCGCCGAAATATGGAACAACAGGAGGAAATCGTGCAAGAGACCGAGGAGCTGCTCAGCGAGTGGGGCGAGAGGGGCCAGCGACTCTTGCACATGTATGCATATGTTACCCGGTGTTGGACCAACGGCCTCAAGAAGGCCTTTGAGCATGGATACTCGTACGAGGAGTGTGTCATTCGCCTGAATCGCGCCGTGCTCTCTCGTCAACGAAAGTCCGAAGCAGTAGGGAAGCGCCGCCATCCGAGAGTCATGCCGGGTGATGCCTGGACCGCGAGTAAAGGCGGCAAAAGCCCGGCGCCGGTCACGACGCAGGATCTCGACGACTTCGGGCTGATCATCAATGATCTGGGGCTAGTCGAGTCGAGACGCCAGTATGAGAGGGCCCAGCCTGCTGCTGCTCAAGGTGGTGTGGACCAGTCTGCGGACCAGGTCTCTCGCCCGGCTGACGTCGATGACGATGATGATAATGGGCATGATTATCGCTCGCGCAAGCGCCGTCGACTTTAAAGACTATCGTGGGTATCATTGGCAGATCTGACCTGTTGTGTTTGTTGATGCGTTCTGTGAGTTCCTGGCTAGGACCAATCAATGGTTTCGTGTTGGCCGACGTAAATTGTTATTGTTTTGCGAAGATGTCAAAATGCCATGAATCTTTCCTTGTTTACTTGTCCCAAGATACTCAAGGATTATGATTCAGTGCTCAGGAAGGCGAATCTCTATTCAGGCTCAGTCGCTTACGCTGTACTGTAGAGAGAGCACTCGGTATGACCTATAACAGCACGAAAGTCCATCATTCATGGCAGCGAGTGCCGTTACTATCAAGTTCACCGTCAATCCTCCCTAACTTTCTATCCAAACAATTGAAAATGAGAAGTATGAGCATTAACTCATTTCTCGTACTGCAGTCTGTCATTCAAACGTAACATATACTTTTGCCAACGATGTCTATGTACTGGCGCACTACTATACCTCTTAGCAGCTTTACTTCATCATTAGCTCATAAGTCTTATCAAGGGACCCCATGACCAGAGTCTTAATGGGCCTTCGTAGCATAGGGACTTCTGTCCCGCAAGTACTGCCCATACAATCCCAACAGCATCGCCGCCGGAAGCCCAATCCCCAACCCGATGAAGCCCAGCAGACTCCCCGACCACCCATAACCCAACGTAGAGTACCTATGAAAGCATTAGCCCTAGCTCGATACCAAAGGACTTTGACCCGAAGAGCTCACATGTAAGGCGCAAACATCGGAAACGTAAAACCCGCAATACACCGAATCGTCGACACGGCCGCCAACCCGCTGGCCGCATACCGGCCATACGTATCGATCACATACGCATTCACCGAGATGGTGCACGCCAACGCCCCCGCCACAAAGATCGAAGTGCCAATATTCGGCATGATCCAGTGCAGCTTCTTCTCGGCGGACCAGCCGTACCAGAACATGCCGGCGCTGAGGAACAGGGTGGCCGGGAGCATGATGGGGATGCGGAACTCGGGCACGCCCTTGCCCCCGTTGCGCCGCGTGAGGGTGCGGTAGATGCGATCGTTGACCAGCGTGCAACACTCGGCCGCCAGGGCCGACCCCACCGCGATGGAGATGTAGTTCAGCCCCGCGATCTCGGTGCGCTCGCCGTACACCTCCGTCCACAGGTCCACAAAGTCCGCGTACAGGATGTAGATGTTCCCGTACAGGTAGGCGTTGTACAGCGCCAGCACCTGAATGATGGGCTGCGTGGCCAGCAGCTTGAACGGCCGGATCAGGTTGGTCGACAGCTTCTTCAGGCGGCCTGCGTCGAGGTAGTCGTAGTCGGTGTACAGGTTGGTTGCGCCGGTGGTTTTGCTCAGTTGGGCTTTCTTGCGTCGGAGGAGGAGTGGTGGGTAGGTTTCCTCCAGGAAGAATAGGCCGGATAGTTGGATGGCCACGCTGAGCAGGGAGGAGGTGTAGAAGGTCCACTGCCAGCCGGTGTTCTGCGAGATGAAGCCGCCGATGACAGCCCCGACCAGGGGCGCGAGGATCGGCGACCAGCTGTAGATTGCGACGGCTTTGCCGCGGTCTTTCGCGTAGAAGAGGTCGCTGAGCGTGCCGCCTCCGATCTGGGAGACTGTCAGTTAGAGTTGCTGAGAAGAGCTGGGTTTAGTCACATACCCCGAGGGTGGCGCTTCCGCAGAGGCCGGCGACAAAGCGCAAGACAATGATGGCTTCCTTGGTGCGCGCACCGCCGCACGCGGCGTTGAAGACAATGTACATGAAGTTCCAGGACTGGACCACTCGCACCCGACCGTAGATCTCGGATAGCGGACTGGCGACGAGGGGGCCGCACGCAAAGCCCAGGAGGAAGATGGAGAGTACCATTTGCTCGACCGCCGGCTGGGTGATGTTTAGGTCGGATGCAATGGCCGGCAGTGCCGGAGCGACAATGGTCGACGACAAGGGACTCATGAAGACGAATGAGCTCATGGCAAAGATAGCCTTCCATTTGCGCATCGGACTCCAGTTCTTGGGGTTTTCGGGGTCGTCCTCGCCCTCCCAGGTTACCTGGTGGGTGTCATGGTGAACGGGTGTTCGGCGCAGTCGACACAGTTGGGAAGAAGACTCACTAGAACTCGGTCGGACTCGACGGTGCCATTCTCTAGGTCACTTTCTTTTGCCACCTTCTCCGATGACTTCTCTGGCAGTGGTGAGTCTGTGGATGGTGTTGGATTCGCATCTTCGTGTTCCTTGATGGTGTTCAACCGCTGCAGTAATTTTCTGATGTTCATGGCTGACAGAATGTCCCTATGTCCCCATTAGACTCACAGGGCTTGACATGAATTAAATTGCGAGTGTAGGCTAGTCTGGAGGATTAGTATATCAGATTGAAATTGTCAAGGTGGTGGATGTGAACTAATATGCCACCAAAGCACTAAACTGCCAAGTCAGTAGTGGAAATGCCGGTGAGCCCGAGTACTCCGATACAAGTCCGATACAAATCCTGAATTTCCTTCAAGTCCGGTCCATCGCGGACAACTTTTGACATTCGACAGTGGGGTTGAAGAAAAACTAGAGTTGCGTTATGCTCTTCCTGCTGTCCCATCTATCTCGACTATCTTCAAATATTACCAGGCTTGGGCAGTGATTCCCTGGTGGTGTGCGTGGTTGGCAGATTTATGTCACGTGACTTATATCGTACCATCGACTCCGTTTGTCGCGATCCCCTCTTCTTCTTCTCTTCCTCCCACAACCTCCCTCCATATGGCCGAAGAGCCAACAAGCCATCCATTTCGGAGTGTCTGGCCATGTATACCCTGAGTCGCCGGCGTAATCGCTCGCTGGCCTCGTGTGAGCCATGTCGCAAGAGCAAGATCCGGTGTGATCACGGCAAACCCACCTGTGCATCCTGCCAACGCCGTGGGCTCCACCCACAATGCTGGTATCATCCTGCCCCTTTGACCAAGCATCGGACTTCGCAGAGACACTCTTTGTCCACGCCACCGGGCTCACTCCGCGTCGCCCAGACGGGCCCACCACCGCAGCATCCGGTCGAGAGTCCCTTGGCCGAGACCCCAAAGTTCCACACTTGGCCGTTCATGTCCGCCGATCCCAATGACTCGTCATCGCTCACCCTCACCCCGGGCCGCCACAACTACAATCTCAAGGCCCACGACGAGCACTTGGCGGCCATCCAACGCATTGTTGCCCAGCTGAAGCTCTTACCCGTCATAGAAAAACAGTTGCATGAATATTACTCATTCAGCCTAGTCGCGCTGGTCCCTCAGCCGCTGCTCTTGCAGCTCATCGCCTCAATTCGGGCCGGTCTCGCAGCCTCGGGCTATAATCAGGACAGCTTAGATGCAGAGCTTGACATTCACTGCACATCGAGATTAGCCGAAGACATTCTACGGGCCTCCTCACTGGAAGTAGTTATCACCCGCGACTTGGATTTGCCGGCGTTCTGTGCCGTGTTTTGTGGGCCCAATCTACGCATAGAAACTCTTGGCCTCCTGTACACGATGGCCGCACGCGCAACCATGTTTGCTGTAGGGGACGGACATGACGAGGACCGCGACAATGCCTTCGTTCGCGATATGGGCTGGTACGGCAACTTGAGCCTGTGTCTGGCCCGTGAGCTTGCACCGCAAACGACCGATCTAATCACATGGCTTGCGCACGAGAACTTACAGTTAACCACAATCTTCGAAGGCGATGCAAGTAAGTTAAACTGCCACGGGCTCAGCGGGCACATTTAACAATGTTGCAGGCTTAGGTGTATGGAGACGCCTGGGCGATCTCGCCACAGACATCCTGGCCTTAGGCCTGAATCGAGAAGCAACCCACGCCACGACGCCATTCTTCCTTGCGGAATGTCGACGAAGAACCTTTGCTAGAGCTTATTACCTGGACAAAGTATTTGCATCGGTATTCATGCGGCCGCCGCGCATAACTGCTCGACATGCAGACTGCAGCCTTCCATTAGATCTATCTGATGAGGAACTTTTCGCGTCGTCAGATGTGATAGAGCATGCAAAGCTCAACCTGACACCGGACGGCTGGAACACCGACGGAAAGCATCGAGTTGCTACGTGGGCTCGAATACGCTATATTCTGGCGGAGTTCCGTGAGGAGACCGTCGAATATCAGTTTCGAGTCACGCATGCCGCTGATTCTGTGAAGCTTAGGTATGTAATGGCCTGACTTTTGTTGAAGCCACTCGCTCATCAGCTACAGAGAGTTATCCGATCGGTGCACTCAGGCATGGAATCGGCTACCTTCACACCTCCAGTACAGGCAGGACTGCTGGACGTCAAACCTCCCTCCAGAACTCTGCCACATGCATGCAAAGATCTACCTCTCTTATTTGCACATTCACTTTCAGATTTACAGACTCCTTGGGACTGCAGAAGGTCTCATTACCCCTCAGCCAGAACTGCTTGAGGTCTCAGCCAGTATGCTTGAAACCGTAATTCAGATGACAAATAGTCGCGGGAGAACCTCTTTCTCTCCGCGCGATCTGCCTGGGATTGTATGCTCCCCTGACTCGCATTGCACTGCAATAGTAGACCTCTCCATTGACCGACACTAGGTTCTCTCTTATGGTTTACCATGTGCTGCAATTCTCTCTGCCGCCCTGGAGAACGTGATGCAAGATTCAACAGCAGGAACAAGGCTTCCCGCAGGCATCAAGACCTCTAATCTCATTCGTCATCTCTCTGTCCTGGTGTCTCAACTGGAAAGCGTATCCAACCCCAACGAGACCAACTACGTATTCTGCCTCAAAGCATCGAGAGCTATTTCTCGCAAGCTCGACGGGATTCTAGACAGTTTTACAGTAGTCAGTTCTACGAAGACCCCTGCCCCTGGCTCCGTCCCTGAGCCCGTTCCGACGCCCCCACAAATCGACAGCACAGCCCCTATCGCGATGGGTGAAATTGATATGAGCTCATTGATTGATCTCGATAACTTTAATCTCACAGACTGGGCAATCAATTTTGACATAGGCATGAGTGATGAGTTAAGGATGTTCTGACAGCTTTTGAACCCTGGAACACTAAAGTGAAGGACCTGATTCAACGTTACCGACATTACAAAAACTGGCCAATGTACCACAATGAATACGGGCAGCTTTCTTTTCTCGCCCCTCAATTTTGCAGAAAGTCCCGCTTTCCCTTCAGAATCTCTGCGAAAAGATTCGCCAAGGCCTCCAAGGCACGATCACAGATTTGGTAGTGAATGATCAGCCGCCCCTGCAAACGACCCCGCATGGTCTTGACACCTGCATTCTCTGCCAGATCCGCAAAACGCTCCTTGTCAATCCCCGCGGCCTCCAAATCCAACCATATCATGTTGGTTTCGGTCGGATGCTGGAGCTTCCCGCCTAGACTCACCCACAGCTTGGAGAGTCTCTTTGCCGTCTCTTGGCTCGCGCGCAAGCGCCCACCAAGGAAGATTTGCTCCACCGCCACCCGGGCCGGGGCGCACACAATGCCGGCCGCGCGGATGCCTCCACCCAGCAACTTGCGCATCCAGCGGGCCCGCTTGATGAAGGTCTTGTTGCCAATGACTATTGATCCAATTGGGGCGCCCAGACCCTTGGTGAAGCACAGCTGCGCGCTGTCGAAACAGGTGGCGTACTCTTTGAGGGTGCCGGCGCCGGCCGCCACCGCCTCCCACAACCGCGCCCCGTCGAGATGCATGTGGATGGGCGGGTCCTGACTCCGGGCCCAGTTGGATATTGCACGCACGTCCTCGAGAGGCATGATGGTTCCGGACAGCGTATTCTCCAGACTGATGATGCGCGTGGGGCAGTCATAGACATCCTCACGGAGGGTAACATGCCGCTTCACGTCCTCGAGGGTGAGGTGATGTCCGTTCGACGGAGCGACGCCTTGCATGAGGGCTCCGCACAGCGTTGAGGGGCCGCCAGCCTCCATGCCAATGATGTGGCTGCGACTGTCGGCGAGGATGCTATAGGGTGGGGCCAGCAGGGCGGTTCGAAGCGCCACCTGGTTGCCCATGGTTCCAGACATGACCAGGAGTGAGTCTTCATGACCCGTCAGTTGGGCTATGAACTCCTGGAAAGAGTTTGTGGTAGGGTCCTCCTTCATGACATCGTCTAGCAAGCTTGTGTTGATGATCGACGCCAGCATGGCGATGTTGGGAGAAGTGACATAATCGGAGCGGAAGTCGTAAGCGGCCTGGCCAGGAGAGTCCCAAGCTGTTTGCTGATTTGGGGATAAGGGATCTCGGGTAAAGAAAGAAGTCTGGTCCTCCCATGTTTCCTCGCGGGGATCTTTGTAGGTGGAAGGGGGCTGAACTGCTCCCTCGCGGAAAGATGATACAATGGAAGACATTTTGCAGAGAAGATAACTGAGAGGTGATGAAGGATGCTTATTGTATCTTGGGGTCCTAACATTCGTTTTCCCACCCCTTCTTATACTCTTCTCTGCTTTCGTTTGAGCCTCACACCAAATCCCGGACCTTGAGTCCCCTCATCGTCCATCCCGCGCTGCACATTGATACTCTCTGGCTTTGCGATAATTATTGACAATTCCGTTGACAAACGGATTGACGTGCGAGAATCCTGCGATGGCTAGTGCGCGGGCCCGTAATGTTCTAGCCACCGGTGAGTCGACCGGAGGAGAACCGAGGAGGTTGATCATTGCGATCCTCCTGCAGTCAGATGGATACGTTTCCGCCCAGTAGGGTATTGCAGAAGATGGCGTGCTCCTCCCCTCGCACCCAATTTGTGGCTCACTCCGAGACCTCATATCCTCGGGAAACACTCGGAGGTGTTGATCGACAGGCTCAGACATATCCCGCGCGGCGACTTTCTTGGATATTGTTTCACCAAGCTGCCAAAACGAGTGGAGCGCGGCCCGATGCGGCAAATAACGGTGCGCACTACGTCTGCAGTCATCTTATGATTGATAATCTCGATCCGTGCATGGAGTACTGACGAGAGCGGCTGGAACCGCCGGCGGGAGGACGTCAAGACCAAGGTTGGCGCCGCACTTGGCAGGGCCTACCAAGCAATGTCAAGCTTACGGGGGATTAGCTTGTCTGCGTGGGCCTATGAGGTGTCTTAAATCTTGGCACAGAGTGCTATAGCCCCGGCATGCACGCCCCTTGCCGTTGCGTATACGAGCTCCGACGTTCGCGTCATGAATGACGATTCTTATCAATCTGTGCAAGAATTCAGTAGTCGAAGGCCTAGAGATCTGAGATAATTCTGCAGGAATGTTGTGTAATTTACGCTCGGACGTGATCTTCAGCAGTTATGACCGCGGTGCGCTTTCAGCCTCAAGACATTTCGTAAGGTGTCCGTGCTACAATTTCAGGGTCTCGGTGGATTACCAGTAGCAAAACGCCACGCTAAGACCCTGATGCGGTCCAGGCACGGGCTGGCGTCGGGAACGCCGTTAGGGGGCCGAGAAGTGGATTCCCTCGCCAATTCGCTGATTCTTCACGCTATACTGTTTCTGAATGTTTTCAGAGCGGGTATAGTAATGCTTAGAGTATCTTATAGTCTACATAAGCACTAAGGCCCGCTAATTATGACGATCGTACACGGAGTTGGGTGGCCAGGGTGCAGAATCGGAGTCCGCTCGGACGACCGTACAAAGTACGGGATCTGGCGCCATGTGGGGGGGAGTTGCAGTCATTTTAAATCATGCAGGGTCTAGAGAATCCTTTCTTCATGTCACCATATGATACGATTTGTCTCAGCGATGGAATGCACAATGTGATCGTCGTCATGAAGATTTCCTCCAATGAGGGGGTTGTATTGCGCCATGCCAGCGGCATTGGAGAGGTGCTGGACTGTGCCTTTGCCCTACTTCGATACCAGTTGTGCAGTACGTACATACAATCCAGTATGTGTATCTCGCTCCACTCATTGTGGCCTATATAAAATCCACTGAACTCAGCAAATCCAACACCACACACACACCACCTCTCTTCAATCAAGCAAACTCCATCCTCAACCCTGTTGATTCCCTCCCCATCAACCAACATGACCAAAACAACCCCCACCCTACCCCCCCGCCTCCAGGACCTCCTCACCCACGTCCGCACGCACTCCCCCTACTACCGCACTCTCTACGCCTCCCTGCCTCCGATCCCCGAAATCCCCACCCTCGCCTCGTTACCTCTAACCGACCCAACAACCTACTGGACCACCTCCAGCACCTCCGCCGCCTCCATCCTGACCGCCCCGCTCACCGACGCCCTCGTCATGCGCAGCGGCGGCTCGACCTCCACCCCGAAAACGGTATACATGACGCGGGCCGAGTTCCACGAAACCTCACGCATCAACGGGGCGCTCTTCCCCGCCAGCTGCAGCATTGTGGCAGGCGACCGCATCGCCAACCTCTCGTCGCAGGGAGGCCTGTACTCCGGGTTCATGACGTACGGATACACGGTGATGAACAGCGCGGTGCCGGTCGTGAATCTGCCGATTAGTGGGAAGGAGGCGCCCGAGAATATTGAGAAGGATATCAATGAGTTTGCGGCGACGGTGGTGATCAGCAATGTGTTTATCGCGACGAAGTTGGCGATGTTTTTGCGGGAAAGGGGCAGAGTGTTGGGGAGCGTGCGGCTGGTGCTGTACACCGGGGAGCCGTTTTATGGAGATCTCCGCGGGTTGTATGCGGCTGCTTTTCCGGGGGCGGTGGTGCGGCCGATGGCGTATGCTAGTGTTGAGTGTAAGGTTGTCGGGGTGCCGGTGCCGGAGTTTAATGAGGGGGATAATGGGGATGTGGATCCGGTGTATCGCGTGGTTGAGGAAGCGGTGGTGCTGGAGGTTGTTGGGGATGATGGGCACCCGGTTCGGGAGAATGGGGTCAGGGGGACGCTGGTGGTCACGAATTTGCTGAAGCGGTTGCAGCCGACCATTCGGTATCCGATTGGGGATGTGGGCGAGTGGGTGGATTTCGAGCGCGGGTTGTTCCGGCTGCGTGGACGGAGTGATGTCGGGGTCAAGGTCGGCACGGCGCTGTTGGATCGGGCGGTGTTACGACGGGTAGTGAGTGAGGTTCTTGGGGAGGGCGTGGCGGATAGTTTTCAGACGGTGTTGCGCAGGGAGAAGGGAAGGAATGTCGTGGTGTTTAGGGTTGCGGCGGAGAGGCCGGAGGATGGGCTTGGGGAGAGTCTGGCGGAGAGGTTGGAGGAGGCGGTGGCAAAGGTGAGTTCGAGTTGGTCGAAGAACCGCGAGGCCGGCCATGTGGCGCCGGTGCAGCTGGAGTGGGTGCGGTTTGAGAAGTTGGTGTTTATTGAGGCGAGTGGGAAGTTGAGGGAGGTTGTCGATGAGCGGTATTAGGATGTTGAATGAGTTCTACCAGGAAGCTGAAAGAAAAGGGGGGTCCGGGGGTTCTCCCCGGGAATCTTTGTACTTAGACTTAGGGTTGAGTTTAACCAGGAAGTTGAAAGAAAAGGGGGTCCGGGAGGTCGCCCCCGGGAAATCGTTATTCTAGACTTGATAGCATATGTCCGATAGAGGAGTGCACCAAGTTACAGACCAAATGGAGATTCGTACCATAGTCGTCTTTCGATCTCCAGCTCGTCTTTGTAGAGATCTCCGAATGCGTCCCAATGAATCTTCTCCAGCTCCGGATGGTTAATGATCCCGTACATGGCTTTGGTAAACTCCCAATACTCGGGGTAGTATCCGGCATATTCCCAATCGACAATCCCATTCAGTTTTCCGCGACTGATCATGAGATTTGTCCAGTGCAGGTCAGAATGGGTGAAGAACGACCTGTGCGGACGCGTATGAACGAGAGCTGCGGCTTCTCTCGTCTCTGTGGGCGTATATTCGGGAAGAAGCCGGCTACTGAAGTCGCTTTCCTCGTTGAATGGACCGAGGATTCCGGCACGCTGGTCACAAATCGCGCCCCCTAAGGTATTTGCAAAGCGGAAGGAGGTTTGATTGGGAACTTTTCGAATCTGGTCGACCACAGTTCTCAAGTCTACGGAAAGCTGCCTACGCTCAGGGTAGGACATCCGATGAGAGACACTGAGGAGCGTCTGGCCCTGGACCGTTGTCATGATGAGAATTCCGTCCTCGCCTTCTTGGTACTTGTCAATGCAGAGGGGCGCTGGAATCGATGTGTGTTGTTCAACCAAGCGCAAGGCCATGCCCTCGTTCTGTTGGGAGCGCCCGACTGTTTTCATGTATAGTCCCAGAGGGAGCCGTCTGACCACGGTACCGGTTTCGAGCGGATAAAGGTACTCTCCGAGTCGAGACAGGAGTTGGTAAGCGCACACTCTGCCGGCCTTGGGCACAAGATGCCAGCACTTGCGCAGTATCTGTAGGGTGGATTTCCCACAAGTGACTGTCAGATGGTAAATCAGCCCCAGCTTGATAATAATCATGGTGGATAACGTACATGTAGAAAGCCTAGGCCAGCCGGCAGCTATAAGGTCTTCGACATGAAAGAGCTGCACTGCGGAGGCAATTCTGTAGTGGGTACGGAATAAGGTTGGGCTGGGTAGGCAATACGTCGCTGGGTCGAGAGTATCAATCTTGAAGTGTTGGAATCCGGCGAAAGTAGTACCATCGCTGAGAGGAAAATCCTTATAATCTTTTGGGTGCGTACTAGCCACATAGTGCTTCATCGCCAGCCCCAATCAGTGCGTGAAGAGGCTTTTCGTGGGGAGAGGAAGCAAACCTTGGAGTTGCCGTCCTTTTGCTGCAATTCGGCCTGGTCAGTCCATTCGCCAGCAGATGTCGATGCCACAACCTCGATGTGACCAGCCCGGAAAGCGGTGTGAGCACCCGGTGATAGAAGCCAAAGGTTCTCGAGTGCCCGTTCGTGGCTCGGCTCAGAGAGCATGGTTTGTAGTTGGGATACTTTGGCGGGCGTAAAATAGGCATCCAAGAGCGGATAAAGCGATTCCTTTGTCTAAAAGGTAAATTTCACTCCAACGTTAACAACCAACGGATCTCTCTACCGACAAGGCTGCTCACTTCAGGGACTAGTTGGTCATCATGGAAGATGTTAGGTGGAATGATCCAAGCAGGTTCCGCACGCGAAAAGCCTCTAGCGCTCGGATCAACCTTAGAACCAACCAGACAGCATTGATCGCCATCCCGGCGTCGGACCAGGCCTTCTAGACCTAGCGGTACATCCACTCGCCGCGAGACTAATGCAACGATGATGGTATTAGTTCATCGCGGGCTGCAATTGCAGGAGGTCTGGTCGCTTACATTTCTGGGTCACTTGTTTCCACTCGCTCTTCAAATCTCGCAGGACGCCTTCGACATCGTTAGGAGCATGGGCTTCGATTCTCCTGGCGACATACTGCGCCGCGTATTCGGGATCGACCGCATGACAGAGGAACCTCTTCAGCAGCCAGTGCTCTGTTGGGGTGAGATCAGCGGATGATATCAAGGATAGAGTCGAGTTGACACGATTCGTCTCTGTGTCCATCGCATGTGTTATTTCTGGAAAACCTGAGCGTACAGGGAGCAAGATCGGATAGACAGAGGCTATGTGGTGGTAGTACGGTTGAAAGATCGAGGTAAAACTCCAGGGAGGCGGGAAGGAAGGGGGGATAATGCAACCCAACTAACCGCCCGGGCGCTTATTCTTGCAGTATACGCCCCCCAAACAAGATGAGATATGATCTATCTCTCCACAACTCCAACCTTATGTGACTGTACCTAACGTTCATGTATTGTTCAACACCAACTACACCATCTAAGCTCACATAGCCCGTCTAATCCACTGAAACCAAGACCATGGCCCTCCCCCTAAACCACAAACCCAACACCCTCTCCCTGCACCTCCTCGACCGCGGCTCCCCCTTCACCTTCCACTGGACCCTCTACCTCACCTCCTCCCCCCCGCACGGCCAGACCTTCCACCTCATCAACGCCCCGGGCTCAGACCTCTGGACATTCGACTCCCAACCCACGGAGGATATCACGCACGGCGGCCGGCTTCTGGTGGCGCTGGAGCTAGGCGAGATAGAGCCGGCGCTACATGCTGCGATGGCGGAACGGCTTGCTCAGGTGTCGGTGGGATACTCCACCAATTTCCGAGAGGCGATGACGTGTCGAATCTGGGTGAAGGAGGCGCTGTTTGCGCTGGAAGAGGAGGGGTATCTCTGTTTGCCTGTGGGAGGTGTGCAGGGGGTGGACGGGATTGAGGAGGAGGCGAGGGGGTGGGCGATGCGGAACCGGGTTGCTGGACGGTTTGGTGTTAAGGTTTTGGGTGGTGTATGAGCACATTTGTTTGGGGGGTGAATGTGAGGATGGGTTGTGAGAGTGGTGGTGGTAAATGGCTACCTGACAGCCGGATATATATATATGTTGCGTGTATAGATTCTCCTTTGACTTATATAAAACCCTTATATGTGAAAGACAACGCAGGTTGCTGATTCAGATATAAGGGGGGCTGAAGATGGCCTGAAATCATGATTACATAGCAATAATCTTACAAGACGCTCGGGAGACATATATGTTGATTGTGAAGTCAAAAGGTTGAAAATTGATTTGATTTATACCGATCACATCATACAGGACTATGATGGCAAAGAAGCGTCTCTCTGATATCAACAGGGGCTGTGGTTTAGTGGTATAATATTCCCTTAGCATGGGAGAGGTCCGGGGTTCGATTCCCCGCAGCTCCATTTTTTGCTTCCATTTTTGCTGTTCTCCCGGTTGCTCCCCCTGCCAGGCCGTCAACCACAACACATTACAATCAAAATATGAGCAGTCCTGCCAATCTGCCTCTGCCTCTGTTCAAATCAAACCCCCGAGCTGGACCTCTACCACCTCCCACATCCTCACAACCAGCAGACTACTCGCCCACCTCCCGATCCTCACTCCAGTGGGCGTACTTCTGCATCACCCGCCACTGCCACGTCCGATGCCGCAACGGTCGGCCCCAGAAATAGAACGGCACGAAGAACACCACCACCACCCCGGCGATGATGGCCATCTCGCCGAACGCGAGGGAATACCCACTCTGATCGATCCAGGGATTCGTGTAGAAGGACAGGAGGAACCCAAAGGCCGCTATCAGTCATGTCAGCTTGTCTTTGTCCTCGTAAAATGCCCAAAACACCCAGATCCAACACTAACCCCACAAACTGAGACAAAACAGACCAAAAGGGGAAAGGGGGGAATATACCCTTAAATGCCAAGATCGAAACCGTGACCTCCCCCACCGCCGGCCGATAACTATCAATCACATACACCATCGTAGCGTTGGTGGCCTGCACGATCGCGAAGTTCAACAACCCCAGTCCCAGCGTCGGCACCATCCAATGCAGCCGGTTGTTGATGCCCACCCCGTACAGAATCAAGGCCACGGGAGCGCACGCCCCGCCGATGACGACGGAGGGGAGGCGCATCTCCGGATGCCGGATGCCCCCGTTGCGGCGCGTGAACCAGTCGGCCGTCCAGTCGGACAGGTGGCCGCCGAAGGCGATGCCGATGGCCGAGCCGACCATCCCGGATACAAAGCAGAGGCCGATCTGCCAGGTCGTGAAGTCGTAGGCCGCGGCGTAGGCGGTCGCGAAGTTGGAGGTGATGGCGACGAGGAAGCCGATGGTTACGGCGAAGACGAGCGAGGTCCAGAGGACTGGCGGGAGGATGATGAGGGCGATGGGGCGGAGGAAGATCTGCAGGAGGGATTCGGTGGTGTAGGTGCCTGTGAAGAGGCGGAGGGAGCGGAGGTAGGGCTGTTTCTTTTGCCGGATAGGGCTGGGGGTAGCGGATTCCAGGGTGTGTGGGGTTTGGGTTTGGGGGTGGGATTGCTCCGCTAGCAAGGCGTTTTGGCGGTCGAAGGTGGTCTCAGGGAAGGTGAAGATAACCAGCAGAGTGACGCCTCCAATCAACGCGGTCGCCACGTAGTAGATGTACCGCCAGCTCAGGGTGATGGTGATGAGCCCGTCAATGATGATCCCGCCGGCCACCCCCATGGAGAGAGCGGCAGTATACAGGGCCATCACCGTGCCTCGCTCATGTAGGAAGAAGATATCGGCAATCGTCAGCGGGCCCAGACACTCCCCTGCCCCGGCCGCAAACCCCATGACGATCCGCCCGGCCAGCTCGACCCCATACGACTTCGCGAACCCGGTCCAGAACCCAGTAACAACGTACAGGACAAAGGAAATGACATAGATGGGGCGGCGGCCGTACTTGACAATGAACGGCATCCAGAAGAGCATTCCAATCCCTTGACAGAGAGCGGTGGTGCTGAAGAAGTAGGCCACCTTGGAGATATGGGCGCTGAAGTCGGGGCCCTGGGGTCCCAGGAAGTCGACGGTGATCTCCACGATAGCCACAGTCGGACCTGCAGACAGAAAATTGCAGAAGAAGACGGCCAGGCAGACGAGGACGGCAATATAGTATCGGAACGCAGAGGACCTAGGTGCAGATTGTGATTAGTATGACCTGAAGGGAGACTGACTGGAGACAGGAGGATAGAGGATATGACTACCAGTTTAGCGGGTCATTAGGGTCCCGCGAAGGTGTGGGGACCAAGAGGATCTCGTTTGTCTCATGATGGCGGAGACGTAGAGTCCCCAAGGTGTCCTTTGGGACGGTTTCGTGGTGGGTTTCGGTGGGCTTTGAGTCCATGCTGGGCGGCTAAGGGGCGAGGCCTCGACTGTTGTGCTCGGCGAAAGGAGATGGACCTGCCTTATATAGACAAAAGCAACAATGTGCAGGAAACTGCCTCTAGACAAGAGAGGCACGGCAGGAGAAGAGGTGGTGGCTGTCATGTTCACTCCAGCATACACCGGTCCCAGTCCTATTCAGAATCACTGGGGCGGTGGGCACCCGGCGCAAAGAAGTTGAGTGTCCTACAGTATAGCAGTCGAAGGAAATCACAGCGTCAACGACCTTGGATTTAAAATTTCCCCCACACTCGGGAACGAGGGTCGTCTTCCCCAGATCTGCGAAATGCAGATAATGGTACGGAGTAGATGCTTACGAGTCTCAGGTTGACAGAGCGGGGTAAAGGGTAAGGGGTAAAGTAAGGCAAGTGGTCCACAGCCAGTCCCCGATTGCTGTCGCCACAAACAAAGCCCTAAGCCACTTACTGACGTTCTGTCGGCCGTAGCTAGCCTACATATAATTAGTTGGCTCCAGCCTCAATCACTTTCCAACTGCTCTAATTAACTTTACATACACCATCTACCTTTTCGCGAAATCATTATTACTTGTCCCTCGTCCCTCCGACACGATGCAGATAATCTGGCGCGACTCCGCGCCCGCCGCCGAATACGAGGAGGCCCGCGTGGGCCGAGTCTTCAACCACCGACGTCCCGACCGCTTCCCCCTGGCTGTTGTCAAAGCCACTTGCCAGGAAGACATCATCGCAGCAGTCAAACTGGCTAAAGCGAAAAATTGTCGGCTTGCCGTGCGCTCCGGGGGCCATTCGTGGGCCGCCTGGAGCGTGCGTGACAATTCGATTCTCCTCGATCTCGGCAATTACAAGCAGCTGGACGTCGACCCCGCCACTCGCACGGCGAGAGCCACACCCAGCATGACGGGACGGGAGCTGAATGGCGTTCTCATCAAGGAGCACAATCTGATGTTTCCCGGGGGTCATTGTCCGGATGTTGGGCTCGGGGGATTTCTGCTCCAGGGCGGGATGGGGTGGAACTGTCGGGTACGAGGTCCTTTAACCAGTTGCCGGATTGCCACATTCCGACTGACACTGACTCCTAGAATTGGGGCTGGGCGTGCGAGCGCGTCCAGGCGGTCGATGTGGTCACCGCACAGGGCGATGTTCTACATTGCAACGCCACCCAGAACCGGGAGCTGTATTGGGCTGCCCGCGGTGCCGGTCCGGGTACGTGACGCACATTCCAACACTTCTCCCCCCAAATCCTGTCTCCTAACCAAATCACCTCATAGGCTTTCCCGGGGTAGTCTCGAAGTACCACCTCGAACTCATCCCCTACCCGCGCGACGGCTTCCGCTCGTCCGGCTACATCTACCCGATCCGACTCTACCGCGAAGCCTTCAGCTGGATCCTGCAGGCCACCCCGACCTCCGATGAAGACACCGAAATCGCCGTCGTCGCGCAATACCCCGAGGGAATGGACGAGCTGTGCCTGTTCGTCCTCTTCGTGACGATGAAGCACGATCCCGCGGCCGCAGAAGCCGCCCTCCGCCCGCTGCACGACTCCCGCCCTGCCGGGGCCATCGTCGAATGGTTCTGCGAGACCGACAGCTTGGAGAAGCAGTACGAGAACCAATTCAAAGCCAATCCGGAGGGCCACCGGTATTGCGCGGAGAACGCGTACATCCGGAACGATGCGGATGTCCCCGCCGTGCTGGAGGAGGCGTTCACCACCCTCCCTCACCGCAAGGCCTTTGCCCTCTGGTACGCAATGTACCCCTGCAGTCGGCGCAAGCTGCCAGATATGGCGTTGAGTATGCAGAGCGATCATTACTTCGCGCTGTATACGGTGTGGGAGGAGGCCCGAGATGATGCGCGCTGCCAGGGGTGGGTGGCCGATGTCATGCAGAAGGTGGCGCCACATGCGGTGGGGGCGTACTTGGGGGATTCGGATTTCCAGGTGAGGAAGACGAAGTTCTGGGCGGATGACAATGCGCGCAGGCTGATGGGGTTGAGACGGCGGTTTGATCCCGAGGGGCGGATTTGTGGGTATCTGGATAAGGGGGATACGTCGGGGGTACGGGGGTTGGCTATTGAAAGTGAGGTTAAGTTGTAGGGTGCCTTGGTTCTAGACTGTTGTTTTTGTTTGGATAGATGAATAAATCATTTACCGGACTCTAGACTACTGCCTGCAATGTTTTGAATGCTTGGACAGAGCTAAGATTTTAGCAGCAGCGCTAGTGGGATAAGACTATGGCCGTAGCGCCTGTGACCCAATCAGACAATGGAGTGCAGTGACTAAGCGGCATCTTCCCCAGGTTTTCAGCCTTGGCAGGCCCTTGGCATGATGAACAGGCAGTTGATGATGTATTGAGGCACCATCTGAACGAGCACCCCCACATTCCGCTCCTTCCTCGTCTTTATTGTTGACATAGATAGTATATTCGAGATGACTGAAGCACATTCCCAGCAGAGGAAATTAAATTGTTATACTTAATGCTCTCAAGCAGATGTTTCTCCCTGCAGAAGTGGACCCAGATAGCATAGCACACAGCTTGAATGCGAGTCTTGATCCACCGAGTAAGGCAGAGAATATACCGGAGAACTAGTCTTCCGGCACTAGCCAGCCAAGCTTGCCGGGCTTGATCACTCGATCGACCGGGAAAGCGATCTCCCAGTCTCTTCCGGAGAGCCCACCTCCTCGGGAGTAAGTACCACCTCAGACACCAGGTCAAGGAATGAGGAAGAATCTTGAACTGAACTGATCGGGTTGTGGAGACATTCGGAAGCACACGTTGACATGTCCGCCGGCTGGTGTGGCAAGACATCCGACAAGCAAGCCCTACCATGCGGGGATCCGCAGACGTCACCCTGCTAGAACGTGTCCACATCCACACATCCCTTATGGTATAGCTTGGTCAATCCTGAGAGAGGCATTCCTTCATCAACCTAACAATTCCACACCGACTATCAAAAATGTCCCCAACGACTCGCCTTGCCCAGCTCAGCAACCAACTAAGCCAACCACCCCCATCCACAGCCACAATGACCACCACCCCGCAAACCCTCAAAGACAAAGTCGCCATCGTCAGCGGCTCCTCCTCCGGGATCGGTGCCGCCATCGCCCGCGAGCTCTCCGCGCGGGGCGCCAGCGTGGTCATCAACTACCCCTTCCCCAGCCTGAAACCTCAGGCCGACAGCGTGATCGCCTCGTTACCGTCGCCCGCCATCGCCGTCGAAGCCGACATGTCCACCGCCTCCGGTCCGGGCCAACTGGTCTCCGCCACCATGGCCGAATGGGGCCGGCTGGACATCGTGGTGAACAGCGTCGCGGTGGCGGTCAACAAGCCGCTGGAGGAGCAGACCCTCGACGACTGGGACGCGCTGGTGAACCTCAACGGACGGGGGACTTTTCTCCTCACGCAGGCGAGCCTGACGCATCTGACGAGAGGCGAAGGGAGGATCGTCAATATCTGCAGTCTCAGTGCGCGGGCGCCGCCGCCGAATCAGACCATCTATGCCGGCACCAAGGGGATGGTGGATTCTTTTACGAAGTGTTGGTAGGTCTTATTGGTCTTTTCTCCGAGAAGATTTGTCGTGGGGAGAAGGGGGGGGGAAGGGGGGTGATTGGGCTAATGAAAGTTGCAGGGCAAAGGAGCTCCCTCCTAAGTATGGCTGTACGGTCAACGCCGTCAGTCCCGGGCCGACGAGGACGGAAGGGTTCGCTGCGGCGGGCGAGGAGCAGATGAAGATTCTACAGCCGACAATCGACCATACGCCTGTTGGGCCGAGGATGGCGCAGCCGGAGGAGATTGCCTGGGCGGTGGGGTTTCTGTGCGAGGAGCGGTCACGGTGGATCAATGGGGTGCATTTGGTGGCTTCTGGGGGGTTGTTTGTTGATTGATTTGGGGTGGCGGGGTGCTTTCGAAGTTACTGGTGGGGCTATTCAAGGTGGGGATGATTCATGTACTTATTACTTTAGTGGAGACAAGCGAAGAGACACAGTGACGACAGAATGCATATGGATGTTAAAGAATTATTAGATCGCTTTTATAGAGCTAGGTCGAACCATGGAAAATATGCAGGCGCCTGCGCTGCATTGCGAAAGTCCCCTCCAACCCCAAAATCCCTGTGAAGAAATCCATTAACACCAAAGCCTCACGACGCCATCACTACCAAAGACCAATAAAAGGAAGAAAATGAAAGACGAAACCAGTCCTAGAGGGTATTCCCCGTTGGATTGCCGTAGTACCACTCTCCCAGCTCCTTGAAAGCAGGAGAGATTTGTGCCGGAAAATTGTAAAAGGCTGTGCGCCTCAGGATCAGGAGCTGCCCATCGTAGTAAGCTTCAATGGCACGAGCACGTTTGCCCATGAAGGACACCATGAAGACCTGTATAGCAATGCCTGATCAGTCATTTGTCCCTGTGCTGTAACGAGGGAGGATGGTAGAGAAGGAGAGAGAGAGTGTGTGTGGGTATGTGTGTGGTACCCGTTAATCATATGTTCCAGAAGAGGCCGTTTCCTCAAGCGACCCAGCATCACCCGAAAAAGGATCAGAAGCTCTCCACGAAGCAATCTGTGATGGCCCCCCTCCATGTTGTTATAGATCGCCGCTTTGCTGTGTGGGAAGTTCGATCCGCGGATGTCCATTAGATTGAAAGCACCAAACTCGGGTTGGTCGTATTGGTACACGTGCTTGTAAGTCCTGTGATCGTCAGGACTGGATGCTTATGTTAGTGCGAATGGTTGAGACCATTGAAAGGCGCATAGTCAGGGTCAAAGGGAGACTCACTCTCCCGACCACCATGGCCAGCCCTCCAGTCTAAAGTTATGGCTTCTGCAATAGCTTGACCAGTTGCCTTGAACCTGGTATGCACGATCTACAGGCCGCTTGAGAGCAGTGTCCTCATCACCCAAGCATTTCGTGAGATTCTTAACGCACTCGGCAGGAGGCGATGAAAAGCTCGAGCGGGGTAGAAAGAAGTAAGGCTTGTCCCTTGAATTGGAATTGAGGGTCATTTCTTGGACCGGCACCTCCAAGGTCGGGTCGGAAGTTGGTCCAAGCTGCTCAAGGGCGGACAGCGGCAAGATGTGGCTGGCCCGGGCCGATTCTGCGGGATTCCCCAAGCGGTCAGACCGCAATTAACCGCCCAGCCCCGCGCGGATGGATGTCAAACCCGCTTTTGAACTACAAGCAAGTCAGTAAGTAGTTATATTTAGTACTGAGTATCGAGAGGCTTCAAGTTGTCTAGGATAGTACAAGGCTTTCACTTAGGTGGTCAATCCTTAAATTCAATTGGGTATCAACCAGCAGCTGTCAAGTCAGAGCATGTTTGAAGAATAACAGTCAGCATCCACTCATGTCTCATTTCTTCCACACCCAAAAAGCACGAGCGACACCGCGGCGACTAAGGATGTGCCCATCAGGGAACAGAGATCAGCCTTTTGATATCTTAAGAGAATGTGCTTGTATGAAGCAAACACTCGCGGGGTCCCCAGTCTTTGACCACATATTAAGTCCAATGACCGACCGGGAGAAGAGGCTAAGAATCTGTGGAATATCACATGAGAACAACACTTTGCCAACTCACCACTTTCTCCTAGAACTCCCATCGCAGCCATGAGTGATCTGTCGGAGGTTTTGCCTGATATTATCACGGGGTGGATCGATGCTGTCAGCGACTGCAGGCTCACAGACAAAACAATCCATACTGCAACGGCGTTGTCCTCTGCATCCAAGATCGGATTCGATCAGTTTCTTCTTCTCCGGGTGATATGGATTCGTCATGAGAAGCCACAGCTGCTACATCGGCACCTAAATCTGGAGGACCAGGCTAATCAAGCAAAAAAATTCCTCGACCAATACAGCTCGTCGAACACGTATTGTGGGAACCTCCATTCTCCAGCACATATCCCTGAGGGAACCTTTGCCCTTGCTCGGCGTTACCAGCTGGAGGTTTCAACATACAAGAATAGCTGTTGACCCACTAGTCTTTGCCTCGCCAATTAAAACACGCGCAATGAGACGAGTTGGGCGACAGCAGCAGGGCATACGCGGGCTGCAAGAATCGATGACCCACACTCACTTGAGTTCGCCTACAAGGAGAACCCGCAACGAGGAGCCGTTTGAACTATCGGAAGAGGACGACCTCAGTTCCCGTGAAGAAGAGCCCAGTCCCTATCAACTCTACTCCCCGGTCCCATCCAAGTTGATCAACGTCCTGTACCCCCCAACAAAAGATGAACAGATTGTGAACACCGCCCTGATTGTCTTCCTGAATGCTCTGACTATCCACACCAAACTTACCTCGAAATGGACTCTACATCGTCGAGAGTTCATCGATACTTGCACGATCGCCGTGGAGAGCCATGTGTCATCATTGAAGTGAAGCCGGTTCACAGACGTCACAAGCTGGTGACTATTCAGATGCAGAGAATGCTCAAATGATTGCTTGGATTTTGAGTGATGACGAGTCCGCCCAGAGGCGTCACCAGAAGTAAGTCTGAGCCCCCGTATATTCTCTCGCTCAAACCTTTCGCCGTCTCTGACAACATGAAACCCAGGCGAGTCCATATCGCGCAGGACCGACACGAGATCTCTGTGACCGTGGCCGAGTACAACGACCACTATCTAGCGTATTTGAAGGGCACCGACGTCTCATCAACCCCGCCGAAAGACGATACATCATTTCTTAAGATGCGCCAATATGGTCCGTGGAATACATTAGATGTCTCTCACGTACGTGAGCTGGGAAAGCTTCTGCTTGCAATCACGTTGAGAGCAGAAGACGAGTACAGAACCAATTGATTGATCTCAGCTTGTGGGTCGGGCTTGGATGAGGGTCGCCCATCGCACGCTGTGAGATTGTGCTACATGTGGAATCACGAAGCAAAGCATTGAGATTGTGTTTCTTCTTGTTTTGTTCTTTGAGTCTCTATATCTTCATTTTCTTCTCTTCACCTGCTGTTTTTTCCTTCTGGCATTCTTATATCTACCACTCTATGACCTGATCCAGCTGAATATAAATACTTTCTTTTTCTTGTTCAAAAGATCATTAGCTGACAACAGTGTTCGAGGACCTATTAGTCTTAGTTAACCTAGGCTTTTCCGGAATGGCTATCGTAAGATACAGTACGCCTTTTGATTGTAGCAGTTGGGTACAGTGAGTCTGCAATTCAAATGATATGACGTACATGGACTTTACAACTGGAGCCATCCTGCCATCAGTTTCAATCTTAATTAGTACAAAACCCAGGTATGATGCGCAACAGATCGCCGACACCACAGACAACCAGCGAAAATTCCAATATCCCAGCCACTCTCTTCCGCAAGCGATACAACCGACTTGAGACGTCAGTCAGACCCGGTTGGCAATTGTTTTATAATTGTCAGCTGTTGCTCGCTTTCCCGTCTTTTCGTCCAGCTCTGTCCTGTTTGACAGGCCTCTTTACCTTCTCTCCACCTTCCAACCCACCCGATTCCCCGCCATTGTGATGCGGATCACAACCACTATCTAAAGATGTCGTGACAAGAAAGGCAAGAGTGAAAGATTACGTGCATTGGTTTTTTAGATCTTCGGATGTGGTGACCCTTCGTGAGATATGTTAGTCTCCCTTGGCCCGGCTCTTCCTTCTCACCGTAGACTCTAATCACACCTATCGAAAAAGCAGCTATCATCTGCCAATCTGCCAAAGTTCTCAGGTGTTGGAGATGGGTCTTTACTGCGCGTTGCCCCATTCTATGCTGAAGGGAATTGAATACGCGATAGGTCATCTTACATAAACCAACCATGTATGCAGCTCAGGTTCCGACACATACCCTGAAACAAACTATAGTTTCCTTTTTCAGCTCCCATTCTTTACCCCTGTATCAACCGCCACCACAATCGTCTCCCGATCCTCGGTCGAGCTCTCCTCCGACTCGGCGTACCTCGGTTTGCGCTTTTGCTCCCTGTCATCATCACATCAGCAACATTCACGCTGTCTTGCAGTCCTGCGTCTCTTACCATCTATGTATCACGATGACCGAGATGAAAGCGGCCCAGAGCAGAAAGAAAAACGCAAAAGAGGCCGGCCACCCCTTGCGCCAGCGGGGGGCGCCGTCGGGGCCTGCAGTCGGGAAAAGGAGCAGGGGTACCCAGATTTGGAACGAGTAGCCGAAGGTCATCATTGAGCCCTGGATCTAAGTCAGCTATTGAGTTGATGGGGAGGGTGCGGGTCGGATAGGGGAGCAGACCATGATGAGGGCGCGCTCCTCCGAGTCGTCCTTTACGATCGTGTTGACGGTCGAATAGAGAATGGGGCTCAGGCATCCGGCTGTACCGAAGAGGTACCAGGCGACGAATCTGGACGAAGTCAGGTTAGGGGCCTGGAGACAGAGACCCAGACAAGGGGGTAGGGCTACGCACTTTAGTCCGCGCGGGATGTCCCAGATAATCATGCACAAGGAAGAGAACAGGCAGCACGCCGAGGAGAAAGTGTAGAGCGCCCAGGTGGGGTAAATCGCGGCCAGCGTCGTCCCCAGCCACGAGGCGACGATGTTGATGGCGTAGGTCACGGTCGGGAGCTTGTTCACCTGCGGCACCGAGTAGCCCTCCGCCTGCAGCCAGAGGTTCATGTAGGAGACTGGATAGGAGGAGATGATCATGCATCTGTGATAGGGTCAGCATGACGTCCCGTGGACTGCACGGTGGAAAAGCTCACGCGTAAATGAAAATGAAGATCCAGATATGCCACCGCTTCAGCGTCCGTTGGAAAACATCAAGGCTCATCTTCCCTGGGCGGCGGATGTTGGCCCTGCGCGCTCGATCCTTGGCCAGGGCGATGTCATCCTCGGTGAGGAAAAAGGTCCGCGGGGAATCGGGCACCCCGGGAAAGATGAAGAAGCCCAGGATTGCCACGGGGATGGTGAAGATCCCGTCGATGATGAACAGCCAGCGCCAACCTGGCATGCCGCCCACTCCGGACAGGTTCGTGTAGGCGGCCGCTTGCAGGTATCCGCTGACCATGGTGCCTAGGGCGTTGCAGATGAACCATGTGCCGGCTCGCTTGAAGAGCTCGGGGCCGGAGTACCATGAGCCTTGAACAGAGTTAGTATAGGCATAGGATTGAGGGGAGAATTACTGACCGAGGATGAAATGCGTTCCTGCGAACACTGGCGCTTCAAACATACCCACGAGCACTCGAAGGGCATAGAGCTGGTGGACATTCGTGACGCGGCTCTGCGCAAAGGTGCAGACTCCCCACAGAATCTCGAGGGTAGGAAGAAGCCATCGTGCCCTAATCTGTTAACGATAGAAAAGCTGTCTTGGAGGAACGCGATCTTACAATTTTGGACGGGACATCAGCAGCAGGCCCGGAACTTGGAAGACCACATATGCGGTGATATAGCAAGTGTTGAAGTAATTGAGCTGATTGCCATTGAGCTGAAAGTCTTCCTTCAACCCACTGACATATGCATTGCTGATGTTCGTTTGATCTGGGGTTCGTTAGTCCGCGGGCAGATTGGCTGGAACTGCTCAGCTTACCCAGGTATTTCACGAAGACTAGAGGACTTTTAGCACACTGTTCATAGGTAAGGAGCGGATGGTCTTACAGCAAAGACAGGCAAATATGAGGATTGACAAATCCAGCTTGAAGAGCAACCTACAAAGTCAGACCTTGGCAATTGACCGAAAATATCAGGATCCCCAAACTCACTTGCGCTCATGTGCCGGGTAATTCGACGGATACCAGTTGAACACCTCCTTGAAAAGCCCCAAGGGCCCCAGTCTGACACGAGCTGCGGTCTTGTCGGACATCGTGACGAGTCCTTGCCTGTGTCAACTAGGATGATCTTTCCGTGGTCGGCCTCCCACTTCGACATATCTGCCGATTCATCCGGGAATTTATACTTCAGTCAGTGGTAACACCAATGAGGCAACTGAGACGACGAATTGTTGTTGAGATATTTGCCATGACTCCACATCTTCTCGTCATAGATGCATGCGGCGAATGCGACAGGGACAGGGGCCGGGGAGGGGTCAGGACTGCAACATCTTGGTGCGGGATGGCGTGCCGCAACCCCGGTCCAGCAGAAACTCAATCAGTTGTTATCTCTGACATGAGTCAAGTATGGGAGGTTTGAGTGGCTGGAACGAGTCGAGATTCTCGATAAGAATGGCGTGCTTTGCAGTGCGGCTTTGCAATTCACTCAACGAAACGACTGCCGTGCGGGGTTGAGTTGATGCATCAGCAACAGAACCACATCCATGATTTACTGCTGCAATTTAAATGTAGTTGCTTTCACCCGGTCCATTCTGCTGGAACACAGAAATACCATCAGGTTTTGTGGAGAGAGAGTCTTGCAGAATGCCAGCCAGATTGATTGACAGATATGACCACGTCCCCGTGACGAAGGAGAATCGTATGTACCACTCTCAAACCAAGGTTTCTATGCAATGCGACATTACTGACGAAGTAGTCCCTTGGGCTGAGCTCGTTACTCTCGACCTGAGTCAATACGGCCAGCCGGGAGGTAAGGAAGAGCTTGTCAAGCAGCTGGACCATGCCGTGCGACATGTGGGTGAGTATTCGTACCCTCGCAACAACATCTTCAGCCCTAACCCTGCCCCCAAGGCTTCTTCTACGTGAAGAACTTCAACATCAGTCAAGATGAGATCGACCGCCAATTCGCACTTGGCCGCGAGTTCTACGCTCTTCCATTGGAAGAGAAGCTCAAGTACCACAACAGCGCCGATCTCGCGAGTGGCGAGTACAACGGCTACAGGCCTGCTGGCCACCGGGTGTAAGCTCTCCCATCTGACTTGACTCATAAACCTGGTTGACATTCCCTAGTCTCGGTAACGGTATTCGGGATAATATTCAAGTCTACAACATCCCCAAGTTCGACGGATACCACAAGCGCCAGCAACCACCTGTGCTGGAAGACAACATCGCAGAGATCGAAGCATTCAGCCGGGTAGGCCGCACTTCCTCCTGCAATGATTACACAAGTCACTAAGTGAATGTCCAGAAATGCCACAGCGAAGTCGTCGTCAAACTTCTCCGCCTCTTCGCGATCCTCCTCGAGCTCCCTGATGAAGACCAACTTGTCCGCGACCATCAGTACGACGTCAAAGGTGAAGACCACCTTCGCTACATGCACTACGCTGCGCGCAGCAAGGAGGAGAACTCCCAAGTGGCCAGCATCTACACCCCTGGCCACACGGACCTCGGCACCGTGACCTTGCTCTTCCGCCAGCCCGTGGCGGCACTCCAGATCCTCAACTCGGAAGGGGAGTGGAAGTGGGTACGTCCGCAGGACGGGACGATTACCATCAACACGTGCGATGCGTTGACGGCACTCACGGGTGGGTTGATCAAGTCGAGCATTCACCGGGTACATGCTCCGCCGCCGGATCAGGCGCATGTGGATCGGTTGGGGGTTTTGTACTTCGCACGGTGGGTTTGCACTGTTCATCCGTCGTGTTCCTCAGAACGAAATGCTAATGTTGGGGATATAGACCCAACAACCATGTAGTACTGGACCCGATCACAAACAGCCCGCTACTCAACCGGCTCGGACTCACCCAGAATGTGTTCACGGAGTTAGGGCAGCATTTGACGACGGAGCAGTGGGTCAAGGTGCGGCAGACGCAGCAGCAGCGACGCAATCGGGATGTGAAGGTCTCGGATGATGGGAAGTTCACATATGGGGAGAAGGACCTGGAGATTCTGCCTGGGCTGGAAGCCAAGATTTATAATTAGCGATTTTCAATAGGATACCGGATCTGCATTCACCTGCACGCTGCACGTGACAGTAATCCCAGCTAAGCCGTGCTTAGAATTTAGCTGTGATTTCCAGTTTACACCCTTACATTCACAGGTTGCACTTGCCTCAGAATTACCTTGAGCGGTGAGTTGCGGTTCACCTTAGTTCACCTTTCCTCCTGCGAGACACTGGGTGGAAACAACCTCAACACGCCCTTCATGCACAATTCTCTCCTCTGTATGGTCTTGTTTCTTTGCTACGATGTTGTCACAGTATGGGATTCGATCCAGTCTGGGTCGAGCGGCTAGAAATCCAGTCTTTCGACAACAGATCAAGAAGTTTCATTACGCGAAACGCTCCCCAGCGACCCAGTTGAGGTACCTGACAGCTACTGGTCTTGCCACCACGTCGGGCGTGTATTGGTGGTGGTCCTCCTCAGCCAACAGAGATGCTCAGAATGTAGTCGTCCAGCCTCCTTTCTCCCACGATGAAGTCACACGCATTCTATCCAAAGAGTCATACTCGTTTTCAGTGCGAGATGTTCCTGGCATCGACCGTCATGATGGCGCCCAGCTCGCATCTAACAGCCCCTGCGAGGATCGGCTCACCTATGCCAAGTTTCCTTCCCCGTGGCGCAGCGACAAAGAACCCTGGATGGCGTGGGCAGTTTTCGACGGTCATGCCGGCTGGCAGACGGCAGAGCTCCTGAAGAATCAGCTCGTTCCCTCTGTGCGCCACAGCCTGAGCCAAGTGACGCCTATTTCGGACGGAAACCAGTCGGTCACGGGCGAGGATACGGTACCATGTGCCATCAGCAATGCATTCGTGAATCTCGATGATGCCATTTTCAAGACCGCCTTGGAGGCGTCGCAGGGTAATAAGCCTCTACACCAAAGGGTCCGCGACCTTCTCCCGGCCTTTGCTGGCTCCTGTGCATTACTATCAATCTTCGATCCGGACACCAGTGCATTGCACGTGGCATGTACCGGTGACTCACGCGCCGTGCTTGGACGACAGCAGCCCGACGGGAGGTGGGAAACGATTCCTCTGTCCATTGATCAGACTGGGAGCAATGAAGAGGAGATTGCCCGAATCTATAGCGAGCACCCTGGCGAGGAAGACATTGTGCAAGATGGACGCGTACTGGGACTGATGGCTTCCCGGGCGTTTGGGGATTGTCGCTGGAAATGGCCCGTGGAGTTCCAGCAAGAAATCCGCCAAAGATTTTACGGCCCCGCACCGCTAACCCCCCGGTACGACATTCGCACGCCGCCCTATGTGACTGCCCAGCCGGTCGTTACCACCGTCAACATTGATCCCACACAGCCTTCGTTCCTGATCATGGCTACAGATGGTCTGTGGGATATGCTCTCCAGTCAGCAGGCGGTCGATCTGGTCGGGAAATGGCTGTCGGGAGGCGCGAAGACTGGGAAAGGCAGCGCCACATCCACCGCAGCCTCCGACAAACCCTTCGATTTTGGTCATTTCTGGGAAGGCGTCAACTGGAGGTTTGTGGAGGGCCGAACGACAGTGCAGGATGATAATGTGGCGGTGCACCTAGTGCGTAATTGCCTTGGTGGCAGCGATCTCGAGTTGTTAAAGGGGAGATTGGCCTTTGACCCTCCGTTTTCCCGAACTCTGCGTGATGATATTACTGTGCAGGTGGTGTTTTTCGGGGTTGCAAACTCGAAGAAAGACAAGAAATGACCTCGACTGTGACATTGCTATCGCAATCAGCGAGGATTCGGGATGTTGGATGGGAATCCAGGCCATGGCAGCCACTCAAAACCATAGTATCACACAGGTAGATTCATACTAGAGTGTCGTGTCGTACTCACGGACAAATACTGAGTAGTATGCCCTCCTTGAAGGACTACGTTAATGGGCAACTATATGCTGAACATGTTTTCAATGTCCGTTAACATCGAAGGTAAAGCTTCTAGATTAGCCGAGGTCGGCCTCGTGCGGAGATGGTTCGATCGCCAAGCTTCAGTCCCAACTCCGGTGGAGAAATCCTGCATAACCATTTCATGAATTTTCCGCTGGCTGCCTTGGTTGTAGTGTTCTTGGCGAATTCCTCTGGGCCCGTGGGGAAGTGCTGGAGTCGACGAACTGCATAAATAAGGCCGGTTTCCCGTCTCAAGCCCTGCCACAGGCCATAATCGAAATCACCTACCTCAGCAATGCATATCTCCTCCCTTCTCTCGGCTACAGCCCTTGTGGCTGCCGTCACAGGCGCTGTCCTACCACGTCAGGACGATTCATACTACGGCTACCTGCTTTCCACATTCACTGATGCCGACCCGCGGGTCTTCTGGTACCTGTCTACTGCCGACGATCCCCTGAGTTTCACGGCACTCAATGGCGGCAGCCCCGTGCTAGAATCGACCGTCGGGACTAAGGCTGTCAGGGATGTGTTCCTCACGGCTAACCAGGAGAAGTCAGAGTACTTCGTCATCGCTACTGGTGCGCATAGCCTCCGCACATCTCAAGGTGGTGCACCACCACGAAACAACCGTGACTAACGGGTGTAGATCTGGATATCAACGCAGACGGATTCTCCTGGGACGAGGCCACGCGCCGGGGCAGTCGAGGCCTGACCGTGTGGCGATCGGAGGATCTGGTCGACTGGTCTGAGCCTTCATTGGCAATGTATGTCATCTCACACGAGACCAGCATCTCCAACACACTCGCTAACATGCACCATCCAGCATCGAAGACGAAACCGCCGGCATGGCCTGGGCCCCTTCAGTGGTTTGGAACACGACCGAGAGCCAATACTACCTCTTCTGGTCCTCGCGCCTCTACGACACCACAGACACCAACCACACCGGCACGGCCACCCTCGACCGCATCCGCTACACCACCACCACCGACTTCGTGACCTTCGCCCCGCCAGCCGACTACCTCGCCCTAGACAGCGAGAACATCCCCCTCATCGACCAGGAGTTCCTGGCCCTCGGGGATGCACCCGGCCACTACGCGCGGTTCCTCAAGGATGAGAACGTCCTCCACGTCTACCAGGAGACCACCACGGGGGGCCTGTTCGGCGAGTGGACCCGCGCAGAGGGGTATATCCAGGATGGGGTGGTGTATGAGGGTCCGGCGGCGTTTCCGGATATTCAGGATGCCGACAAGTTCCATCTGTTGCTGGATAATTATGTCGAGTATGTGCCGTTTGAAAGCACGGATGTCGGTGGGGCGGAGTGGGTGGCCTCGGATCGGACGGGGTTTCCGACGGGGTTGAAGCATGGAAATGTGGTGCTGGTGACGAAGGAGCAGTATGATGCTCTTGTTGCACGGTATGGAGTGTAAAGTTGAGGGTTATTGCGGGAATGGGGGATGGTGATGGGGACGAAGACGGAGAAAATGGGCTGATCGACGGCGTCCCGTCGGGATTTTGCCGGTTGGGGTTAGGGTTCTGTTGCTGAGGACTTGGCGAGGAGGTCGACTGCCAAGTGCCACGGTGCTGTACAAGCAGGTGTGAATGGCGATGATGATGATGGTGATGAGTCCCTGCCTGTTCAAGCCATTGTCATATGCGATTCAGCTTCAATAACTAGATGGTGTTGAATATGAGATATATGTCTCTGTGGCCGCACCAACCTGCAGTCAGCAAAACAGAATTGTATTCCATCAGCAAAAGCCCCTACTCTACCCAATACTTCCTCGCCCACTCCTCCGCCGTCAACGCCCGCAACAACACCTGATGATTCACGTCTCCTGCAAATCCCACGCGACGCCCCTCCCATCTCCAAACACAACCTGGTACTTGAACAACCCATTGCCATCCATCGCTGCATGGGCAGACGAGCAAGCCAGGCGTCGTACATCGGTTATGAAAACTGCTGTATTACCTTCTTTGCTCTCTCCCAACGTCGGCGACGCATCAGCTGCGAGCGAATCAGCGAGGCGTTGCTTGCGGTTCCTCGTATCGTCGGGCCGTGTACGAAAGTGTGCAGGCGGGCTGCTCACTCATCAGACTTCATGTGGCCCTGAACCTTTCTCTATGTGTAGATGTTAGGCGGTAAGTACACCAATCGGTCTGTTGCAGATGAAGTTGTGACAGTAGGAGGGAATTGGATAAACGTTAACGATAGGATCATTAGCCGGAAGAGGGAATACCTCCCTCTTGCTGATTGGCTGAAGCTGCCGCCGCGAGAAAATCCGCCAAGAAGCCCTAAGCATGAATAAGCTGGCAGGCAGGAGATGTCTTTGCAGTCGACAACACTCCATGATCTCAGATACGAGGGGAGTGGCAAAGGATATGACCAGCGTGCTGACAAATAAGGCGTCATTCAGTTCTCCCCGGTTCAAGGGTTCCAGAGCGTGTTTGGTACACCCAAGATTGCGGGGTATATATAGTTGTCGCTGTCAGATTAACCCCACCTCATGACCCTCGATCAATTTACAATCTGCACTTTCTATGATACCCACTTCGTCTTTTATAGTTCCTGAGCCATGGCGAGCACTCAGCCGAAGAAACTTGAGCTTCCCACATCGAAATCGCATGTCTTCTACCGCGAAGCAGGAGCAGCGTCAGCCCCTGTGATCCTCCTCCTGCACGGCTTTCCCTCATCCTCGCACCAGTACCGCAACCTCATCCCAATTCTGGCCGCAAAATACCGGGTCATCGCGCCCGATCTACCGGGCTTTGGCTTCACCGAGGTCTCCGAGGGGTTTGAGTACACCTTCGACGCGCTCGCCACCGTCATCGCCGAGTTTCTCGACCGCCTCGCCATCCGCCAGTACTCCATCTACATCTTCGACTACGGCGCCCCCGTCGGTCTGCGTCTGGCGCTGCAACAGCCGGCCGCCATCCAGGCCATCATCACGCAGAACGGCAACGCCTACGAGGCCGGGCTGGGCGCCTTCTGGGACCAGATCCGGGCACTCTGGACCAGCGACAACGACGGGGCCGTCCGAGAAAAACTCGCGACCGGCCTGCTGACTCTCGCCGCCACCAAATGGCAGTACGAGGAGGGGACTGCCGTGGACCGAGTCGTGGCGCCCGAGTCCTACTCGCTGGATTATGCCCTGCTCCAGCGTCCGGGCAACGCGGACATCCAGCTGGATCTGTTCTATGACTACCGCACAAATCTGCCGCTATACCCGGAGTTCCACCGGTACTTTCGCGCGTCGCAGGTGCCGCTGCTGGCAGTCTGGGGGAAGTATGATCAGATCTTTGTGCCGGCGGGAGCCGAGGCGTTCAAGGCCGACTTGCCCGAGGCGGAGGTGCATCTGTTGGATGCGGGGCACTTTGCGGTGGAGACGGAGACGGCGGAGATTGGGGAGTTGATCCTTGACTTTTTGGCAAGGAAGGGGATCTAATTATAGTTGAATGATCTGGATTGTAGCCTCCTGCGACTGGTGGGGTTGGTGGGGACGCGCTTGTGTGGACGGCACTCCTGCATTGTTTATGCTGCATCATGGCTGGACAGCCAAAGTATTGGTTTTGTGTTATATGTCGAGATTATCTATCACATCGGAGCCCTAATTCAACCTAGTACTATTTTGATGATATTTTCGGAGAGATCGATTCGAAAGTATAGCCCAGAAGGGGCTGTAGGCTATGGGTGATACTAAGTCGTACGTGTGTTGAAGAGGCGAGAATATTTCAGCATACGAACATGAACACCGCAATTTAAGTAGAACATGTGTCTGATATGATGACTGACTTGAAGGTACAAGGCTTGATTGACATAGATGAGTGGTATACCAATCACCAGTATCATTTGTGAGGACTGTCCTTGCTGCAAGCTGTACCCAGAGATACCATGATAGATGATCACCAAATTCATCAGAGGTCGTTGATTGACTCGTAGATCTTGGGTTTGCATATATTGACGGCCTCGTCGCAATAACAGCCGGTGGGGCACCAGGGATGCTGCCAGGTGCAGTAACCACCGCACTGAGCGATTTGGAATTCTCTCACCATTTCTGGGTTTCCGCAGGAACTAGGTAGCAATGTATATATGAAAAGATTACTGATCAACAGTAGGTTCATTGTTGAGGACTCTCTACTATATAGTTCGCTGAGAGGTTTTAGGTTGGATGTGATGTAGGTGAAGTCCAAGGTCAGATAGAATAAACACGAAACGGATTGATGGCCATTGAAATAGCTAAACATGCTAAGCTCAAGTCTATGACTAATATATGACAACGAGACAAAGAATCAGTTACCGCAGGCAGGCACCATTCGTGTCATGCTGCAATGGTCTTCGGTGATGCGTCACTCGGCATGACATCATATCACATGATATACAACGTATATGACTGTTTAGCACAATACGAGGTGATTCTGATATAGGACACTGTTGCGCCTGAGACTTATGCTAAAATCATTTCCCATGATCGAACCCATATTGGCGTCACGGGGTTACAGGATTGACTGTCCAAAGTCTGCTACTTTCAGCTCCTCGTTTAGAACCAAGATCTTGCGCAGGGCAACGTCATCCACGAAGACCCTGGAGGAATGAATATCAGCAAACGACTCGATCAGGCTTACGACCTACCTCAGCTTCAAGGCATCCTCCCGCTTAGGACACTCGTTGAGATGGGACTCGAGATCCCCTTATGCCGGGGCCAGCTCGATGCCATACTGGGATGTTCGGTAGTTTCCCGGTTGATTTCGTTGAGGTATTCGGCATCCTCGGGGTCGCGGGTCGGCCTCGGGTGATGGTGCTTAGCCTTCTTGACCACCCGGTCTTGCCCTAGTTCATGAATGACCCCAGTCATGCCAATGCCCGTGACTGGGAGGTTAATATACGGGTCGTTTGTAAGTAAACAATGTTGAGTCGTGCTCAGTTGGACATGGGCTGCATCTTTTCGTCAAGACTGTCTTGAGTGGGCCTGACAAGATGACCCAGGCTTTGCGTCGTGGGCTTGGGCTATTGGGTGTTCGTGCTCGAGCTGCATATTTGCAGAATGGTGGGAAAATGACACGGTAGGAGGAGTTGACTTTGGAAGATGCCACCGTGGGAAGGTACAGATATTTGAACAATGGGAAGTTGGGCTGAGACCCGGCTGTCTGCATGGCTGCAGCATTGGCAGTATTGGCGTTTCCAATAGGCAATAGATTGGCGCTGACATTTCATCCATATTCCCAGAACGATACATAGAGCGCTAGAAGGGCACACAATCTAGGAACCTTCATTTCTGTTCATTATACACAAAAGCAAAAAGCACAACCAACAAGAGAATAACGAGAACCAGAAACAGAAACATTTCTTATACGCTGCATCATCCCCGAATCAGGGCGAAGAGCTCAGAAACATCCTTCAAATCCTCCAAAGAAAGCACAGCCCCCTCCAGCCGTTGCATGCGAGCATCATCGCCCACCGTCCGCGCCAGCCTGCGCCATTTCTCGCGAATCTCCTCGTCAGTGATCGGCGGGTCAAACCCGCGGGGCATGGCCACGGTCTCCTCCACCGTCACCCCGTCTGCGAATTTCACAGTTACCCTTGCTCCGCAGAGATGGTTAGGCTGGTCAAACTCTTCGTCTCGGACGCAAGTCGTCTTGCGAATCAACTCCCAGACGCGATCATCGTCCAACGCAGCCGCGTCGAACTGCTCCAGCAGCACCTGTCCGTACACCAGCTGCGCCGCCCCGATGTACGCCGCGTTCATCTGGGCTCCTGTGGCCGTGAGCGGCCGCTCAGCGGGCACCCAGCCATCATGCGCGAAGACCGGCTCCGACAGCGCTACCCGGATACTCTGGATATTCTGCAAGTTCGCCTGGGTGAACCTATCCGGGTATATCTCCTGCAGCCGCTCCAACGCCTCGACCTGCCCGTGACAACCCCCAACACAGGCATGCAACTTGACCCGAATGTTGGTGGTCTGCCAGACCCGCCCCAGCCCCGCGGTCACCTCTTCAGGCTGGTAAGGCGGCTCGCGTCCGTTGCCCCGGCTGAACATGGCCAGAAACCCGCCGTAGGGCCGCTCGAACACCTTCCGGATGCCCAGGTAGCCGTTGCGCGCCAGCAGCGCCCCGAACAGCCCGTTGCGCGCCGCGAACGCATGCTGCACCCGCTTGATCATCCCCTCGTACTGTGCTGCCATCAGTCCACCGGCCTGCGTGCATGCGATGCCGATGGCTGACTCGGTGGCTTCGCTGTCGAGGTTTAGGAGTTTGGAGGCGGCGGCGGCGGCGGCGGGGCAGCCGAAGATTGGGCCCGAGTGCCAGCCGCGTGAGAGTAGTTCGGCCCCGTACATCGCGGCGCCAGCGCGGGGCCCGGTTTCGAAGCCTACAACTGCTGCGATGAGGAGTTCCAGGCCGGTGACGGCTCGTCGGGGTTGCTTTTGGCTTCCGTGCGATCGGACCTCGGCTGCGGCGAAGAGGGCTGGGAGGATGACGCTGGCGGAGTGCAGGGGAGCGGCGCTGTGATAGTCATCTAGTTCGACTGCTTGGATGAATGCCCCGTTGAGAATTGCGGCGGCGAGGGGTCCGTATTTCTGGTGTTGCGTGAGTCTTGAAGCGTGGTGGCAAGTGCGGATAGAGGTCAGACCTTGTTGGTGTCCAGCACACTGCAGTAGCCGGCAGGCTCGTAGTCGTCGATGGCATCGATACACTTCTCCGACCACGGGACGTGCGCGCCAACTAGTCCGCAGGCTATGCCGTCGAGGATGAGGTGCTTGGCGCGTTGGAGCACATGGGTGGGGATATCAGAGGCTCGTAGGGATGTGACCCAGTCGCAGAGGTCTGCGGTGACCGGTTGCTCTTTGGGGGCAGATTCGGAGGTGATCATGCTGATATGCTTGTATTCTGATGAATTCATCTTAGGGGAGCTTTGATGCTATATAGATTGAGCGTACTTACTGGAGAGTACGTACATCTCCCGGTCCCGGCCTGCATGACGCCTGTACCGGCCCGCTACCGGCATCACTTCTTACCTCCGGCCGGTCATGCAATGACGATTTAATTCATACCTCCGAGGACCGAGAAAGGCAAGCAAGGGTAACTCGGCACAATGGAACAATCCGCTTATGCTTCACATACCACCATATTGTTCTGCCGCGACAGGCATTTCCGCATAACAGTCCGGCATCATAATCCGACGCTATCTTCCATCAAGCAAAAGCCCCACGCCCATTACCTGACAAAAGCAGCCTTTTCACAGAAAGTACACACCAACCTAACGCCTCTCAAATTGATACCTGAAAAGCACAGCAGCACGCCCGCGTTTCAACAAAAGTGTTCCGGACTACTACGCCACACTAACCACCGCCATGCAGCAGCAGCAGCAGCAGCAGCAGCAGCAACAACGCTCAATCATACTCATAACACAAATACCCGCCAACAGGATTCATCACATCCTCCACGGTGACACCCGGCAGGATCTCATACGACTCCAGCTGATACTCGAGCGTCGTCTCCGGCCAACCCTCCGCCGGAGTAGGCAGATCCGTATGATTGACAGAGGTCCCACCCATCGCGAACAGTCGGGAGTCCGGGTCGACCATCTGCCAGGTATACCACAGCCGGTCGATGAAGGCGTGGTGGATGTAGAACATCGGGTCGCCGGGGGAGGCCTTGACGTCTGCCATCTACAGTCCCACAATATCAGCATCAGTACTATCACCTTCTGAAACCCGATATTCCCCACTACAACAAGAAGGAGGATAACGCACCAACCCCCCAACAGCCTCATGCACCCCCTTGTGCGGATACGAGGCCACGCACTGCCAGAAGGGCGTGTAGCCGGTCAGATCGAAGCACTGGCCCACCTTCGTGCTGTTGACGTTTCGAATTCCCAAGGCGTTATCCCACTCGCGCTCCAGACACCGTTCCGTGTTGTTATCCAACGGCCCGATGTACTGCGTCAGATCGGCGAAGCGTCCATCCGTCACGCAGTTGGCAGGCTCCGTGCCGTCGCCCCCGAAGGAATCGTCGTGCCACATCGGTGAGCGGAATAGGTCCCCTGTGTCGGCATCGGCTTGTTCGTTCCACCATCTATCCATCATTCAATTAGTGGGGGCGGGAGATATCCAAGGTAGAGAGAACCGAGCGTACACCATCGGACCCTCGTACCCGCACTCCGTCCGGAGGAGTGTCTCGAGGATGTGCAGCAGATATCTATGCCAGGGGAGAAATTGGCCCTGGCCAGTTCTTCACCTCAGTACTGTGAGTATGCCCGGTGCCTGGACGGTACGCACCACGTTATGGATCACATCGCCGTACTCGGTGTTGGTGTAGTACCGATGCAGCGCCTGCAGATCGCTCCATCGGCTTGTTGTGTAGGCCATCCCCGTCTCCCCAGGAAGATCGATCAGGCATTGCACCGCATCTAAGTAGGCCTCCTGCTGCGAGCGGTCGAGGTTGCGCCATTCCTTGCGGGTTTGGAGCCGCTCGCGCGTGCAATCGCCGCCGTACAGGTTGGAGTCAACGGTTGGGCCGGGGCGGGGCAGTTGACTGGCTGTCGCTAGGGTTAGGAGGCTGAGGATAAGGGAGTGTCTCATTGTGGATGCTTAGGGGGAAAGAGGCTGGGTGAGTATAGGTCAGGAGGGCAGGGCAGGGTTCATGCAGCGAAGAAAGGAATCAAGGGCATGCATTAGGCAGAGTTGAACCTAGGAACCTACGAAGCTGTGTCTTGATCTACGGCTGGACATCGAGGGAGACATTCGCACAATCGTCCAGGGGCGGGCCCATCGATAGCAGCTAGCTTGCATTCTTCGAACCAGGAAATATCACTGCTTTTTCTCGGTTGTGTCTTCCGAAGAATGCGGGTTCGGTACAATCCTCGTATCAGTTCTGGGGCACTGTAGTCGGGGCAAGATATGCACCCCGCTGTACCGTTGCCATGGCTATGCAGCTGGAATGCTGGCGTCAATTTGTTGTTTGTCTCTTCCATTTCGCGTCTTTGACTCGAATTCTTCCACTGAACGATGCTCCTCAGGATCAAAAGAGCTAGATTGAGTCGGCGCTGAGCAGAACTATTGCAAATTTCTGAAGGTTGTATATCCCCGTCGTGGTAGTTGACTGAAACCCCGCATGTGAGATTTGGGGATGGGTCATTGCAAGGCATAATGAGTGGATGCTCGGAAATATATTTTGTGCACTCGGGGGGTGTAAGGACCAAGGTTCGACTCATCAAAATCAGTACAGGATATGAATTAAATATTGTAGCCTAGAAGATCTGGTAACCGCAACAGAAACATCGGAACTTTTCGAACCAGCCAGCATATTAGGGTATTAAAAAGACATTATCGTAAACACCAGTCAGGCCCCCAGCCCCTTATCCCACTCCCCTCAGCATAGAAAATAAGCAGCTCACAGCATCGTTCCCTTGTTCTGCTTCTTATCGACATTGTAGTGCCTCCACATGATGACAGACGGGAAGGCCAACACCAAGATCGCTGTCGCCGCGATCGCCTGGTACTTCTCCATGTAGCCCCAGGCATAGTTAATGGCATCGCGCACCTCCGTGCCAGGGGCGTATTGCATCTGCGTCAGGTACCCACCGGCGATCAGCGTCTCCAGGTCGGCTTGAGCACTGGCAGGAAGGGCACTCTTCAGGCCATCCCGGAAGGTGTTGCTGTAGATCGAAGCGGAGACGGCCGCGCCGATGGCACCGCCGATGCTGGTGAACAAACTCACGATCGACAGCATGATGGGGATATTCTCGCGCGAGGAGGCGCACATCACCGCCATCTGGAAGCTGATGACCATCATTCCGCCGGAAAAGGCGATGAAGATCTGGCACATGATGATGTAGCCAATATCCGCATCCTGGCCGCGGAAGTGGATCATCAGGCCCGCGCCCAGCATCATCAGCGGCACCGCGAAGAACAGGGTCGAGTACTTGAATTCCTTGGTGGTGCGGATCCACAGCCCGAACACGGGCGACCAGAGGCAGGAGCCCACGGTGTAGATCGAGGTCATGTAGCCGGTGTGTGTGATGCTGAGGTCGTAGACCACCATGAGGAAATAATAGAAGTAGCTGTCCCACAAATAGAAGCTGAAGTAGAGGACGGCGGCCAGCATGCATGCACCGATCACGGTGCGGTCACGCAGGTGCTCGTAGGGAATGAAGTGCACCCGCGCCCCCCATTTCTCCCACGCCGCGAAGACGAAGAACAGGCAGAATCCGACCACTACTTCGGCGATGAAGGCGGCGTTGTGGTACTCGGTTCGCCCATAGCTGGCCAGGCTGAACGGCAGCAGGAAGAGGACGAAGGCCGCCATCAGGATAAGCGCGCCGATCACTGATGTATCCTGTTAGTTATGGTCGAAGACGCGGAATATCGGTCGGGTAAGCCAGCACACGGCAAGAAGAAACTCACCATCGAATTCATGTACGTAGTGGACGATCGTTTGCAGAGTGGTGCGACCGCTGGACTCGCGGGTCAACAGTCCCTGCTTGTACGCCTTGCGCTCGTAGTACTTGAAGATGTAGATCAACGGGGCAAAGACAAAGGGCTGCACGATGGCGAAGGCACCGTACGCCCACCGCCAGCCGGAGGTCTTCACGAACGAATTGGCCGCCAACGAACCGGTGAAGGCGCAGCAGATGAACGGAGTGGTCGAGAAGGCGAAGGCGAACGCCCGGTTGCGGAGACCCGAGGTATCGGCGATGTAGATCTCAAGAATCAGGTAGATGGCATCGTACCCAATCCAGTAGAACACATAGCCAGCCGCAAAGCTGTTGGGGCCATTACACGCCGCGAGAATGATCATACCCACGATGTAGACAGCCAGAAACACCATAAGACCCTCCGCACGTCCCCACAGTCCGAGCAGTTTTCCGATCGGCAACTTCAACACGCCACCGATGATAGTCGCTAGGATGTAGGCGGTGGTAACCTGGGAGGCGCTCTGGAAGTTGGAGTAGGCGTAGTAGAGGACATTGCTGCCGATATACTCGTGCAAGGCCAACATGAAATAACACACCCAGATCCTGACAGGCGATATGGTCAGCTAGGCCAGCAACGAAAATAATATGTCCCCTTCAGTTGAAGAAAAGCTTACCAGGCGTAAGTGATGATAATAGCCTTCTTGGTCCAAACAAGAGCGGCAGCCTCCGCCTTCTTCACACCGATGGGGGCATCTCGAGTAACCTCCTCGGGGTGTTCTTGAGCCTCCTTCTCGGCACGCGCCAGTTCCTCGGAGGGAGTCTCCTGGGAAGCATGATCATTGACGGGACCCAAGTCCTCGACGACATGGTTGGTTTTGCGACCACGGAGGCGGTCGGTAACAATACCCATGGTGAGGGGTTGCGGGGGGGAAATGGGTAGAGGAGACGAAAGGGGTGAGGATCAACCAGGAAAGAAGGGGAGGAAGGAGGGAAGGGGATCAGGCCGATTTATAAGTAGTAGTAGTTCGTAGTTGCAGGTGCGCAAAGTGTGGTGCGGTGGTAAGGAATCGGCGCTAGTGTGAGTTTGCCTTCCACAGCCTGAGACTGGCTTGCCTTTTCTGGCCTTTCATTGACTTTATCAACTTGCTTGACTTGCTTGACTTTCTTAGCCGGGGTTTTTGGTGGTTGCACCTGCACGCTAGCCTTTAGCCCCCAACTTTGCATGTTGGACCACCTGAGATATGGGTCGTGGCAATACGAGCAGATGCAGCCAGCCCAGCCTTCCGTGGGCATAGTGCGCCGTCACGGTGCGTGGGTGTAAAACCCATCCCAAGGGATAAGCGCATCAGATAAACGGGATGGATGGATCTGATAAGACCCGACCCAATCAGCTGCCATCCGCATCCGGCCAAGTCCGGGCGGACCGACTTTTCCCTCAGAGCCAATTGCACCCA